CCGCACTCTTATAGAGGGAGAGGCCGCTCTCGAGCACAAACCTCACCAGGAGGTGATCTGACCATGACAGGGGAGTCAAACATAAGTTCTTCACCCTCAGGTCATCCTCTACCTGCCCCATCGTGAATACCAGGTCCAGAGTGTGTCCACGTTCATGGGTAGGGCCAATGACGTGTTGAGACAGGCCCATGGCCGTCATAGAGGCCATGAAGTCCTGAGCCGCCCCGGTCAGTCCAGACTCGGCATGGAGATTGAAGTCCCCCAGGACCAACATCCTGGGGGTCCTCAATACCAGATCCGAGATGGTCTCTGTCAGCTCAGATAGGGAGACTGCTGGGCAGAAAGGTGCACGGTACACCAATAGAATCCCCAATCTGTCTCGTTCGCCCAACACCAAGTAGAGGCACTCCAGCCCTGGTCTCAAAGGGACCGGAAGACCCGTGAGAGAGATGAAGGCTCTGTAAACCAACGCGACTCCCCCTCCCCTCCCTTCTGGGCGTGAACAGTGTTGAACCAGATACCCGGGCGGGCACAATTGGGAGAGGGCAACAGCCCCTCCCTCTCCCGCCCAGGTCTCCGTTATGCAAGCCAGGTCGGCCCCCTCATCCACAATCAAGTCATGGATGAGGGAAGATTTATTATTGATCGACCTGGCATTGACTGGTATGCAGCCATTTGCCATTCACTGCATTATAGCATGCTCATGAGCTCCAGAGTCTGTGCGTGGCTTGCAGCAGCTGCTTGGATTCTTGGCTTGACTAACTCTAGTGTGCACTCTGGTCTGATATCCCAATTTTCATTCCACGGAGGCAATGTTATCCAGCATTTTTTCTGTGACATCCCACCATTATTCCAGCTCTCCTGCTCTGACACTCAGGTCAATCAAATTAATACCTTTGTGTTAGATGGTGGTATAATCATATGTTCTTTCCTGGTTATTCTTGTCTCTTATGTCTACATTGTCTTGGCTATCCTCAGGATCCACACCAAGGAAGGGCGTCTCAAGGCATTTTCCACTTGTGCTTCCCACCTGACTGTAGTTAATATTTACTTTGGCACCATCATTTTCACATACCTAAAACCCAATTCTACATATTCCCAGCAGCAGGATTGGGTATTGCCTGTGCTCTATGGGATCCTAACCCCTATGCTTAATCCACTCATCTACAGCTAGAGGAACAAGGATGTGCAAGGGACACTCAGGAAAGTCATCCTAACAACTCAGCAGATATCCAGTTAATTGGCTTTGCAAGATCCAGACCCTTTTGCCTGAATAGGCTTAGTTCCTTATTCATGGTATAATTGCAAGTTCTATTTTGGTTTCAATGTAGGGGACTGGATGCGTATTGATGTATTAAACAATATTATTACACATTTTGTATCACATGTCGTTATTCACGAAACACAAGTGTAAGGGTTGGATCACGCCAAAGGACATAGGGACTAGTGAACAGCTATTCTAAATCATTGCTGTTTTGTAAAACTCTCTGAGTCCTGCATCTGCTTGATGGGCCAGTGCAGGACGGAATGGAAGAAGAATAATTTCCAGGCTACTCAGTGCCAACCCTCTCTTACTGACATTGCTGTACCTTCATAGTCATGGACAGTGCCCCAAGAATTAATCTTGTGCAATAGATTTGGAATTCTTAACTGTATTTCCTTCACCTTGCTCTCACTGTGAAAGTTGATCACATCCTCAACGCTTTCCCACTGTAATCAATTGTGCTTAACATTCTGTTTGCAGCTGCAATATGACTAGTATGATTTGCATTTATTTCCAAAATATTCTAGTCAACAGCCATTTGGGCTATGGGCAAATTCTTGGGCTATGGATTTCAGATTCTTTTTCCTACTGCCTACCTGATCGACCTTTAGCTGGTCAGAACAGGTAAGAATAGGGATACCTTCATCTTACCCTCACCCACCCCACTCATTCTCTCCCTTTCTTCCCAATTCTCTCTCTCATTCTCTCTGTGTTTGCTGTGGGGAGGGTGAGGGTATGAATTGATTTTGTGTTGTGCCCTCAGCCATTCCATTTATTTTTGTAACAGAACTAAGGAGCCAAAGGCTAACTTGAAAAAGAACAAATTTTGCAACCATTGATCAGAATACCCATCACTATACCCATTGAGTCTAAGGCAGGTTCAAAGATGTGAATCGGAATAAGAAAAGGGCGATACTGTACACCAGATTCATGCTGTAACTCTCACCAGCTGTGGAAGGTCAAGATGAGGGGGACTTGATGGGTAATCTGCATGACACTCCAACCCAGGGTACCAATAAGCTACAGTGAATTGTTTATCTAGTGAACAGGCCATGAAGCATCTGACAGAAGGTTAGGGCAGCAAAACTGGTTCAACGCAAAGATCCTCCAGTGGGTGTCCTAGGACAGACACAGACACACACAAAACCCTGCATGCACACACACGCATGTGCACACACGCACACTCACGTACAGGGAGGCAGGGAGACAGGGAGACAGGGTGAGAGAGATACAGTCAATTAATCTATCCATCCTTTTTCAACCTTTGCTGGATCAATACATTGAATTTCCCATTTCCCTCTTGGAGATTGTGAAGTCTGCCAACCACCTTTCCTGATCCCCATTGTAACAGCCTAAAGGGAATATAGCAAGGGTCTATCCATGGTTAACAAGCCCATTTACAGGAGTCACTGCTGTTGACAATAGTTAAAAGGGTGACTCCACTTAAATGGAGATTAAGGAAATGATTCTTTGTTCTTGGTTTTGATAAGGAGAATATGCATGTATGAATTCCCACGATACCTGTCAAATCTCTGTTTAAAAGGAGCCTTACTCTGACCCCTGTTAAAAGTGGTACCTCCTGCAAATGGAGTGGTTCACTCACTTCCATATGTAGAATCTCTGGAACAAGAAGAAAATTAATCAGACTTTTAGGAGAGTCAAGTCCGAAAGAAGCAGAGGGGAGGGGACACATGGATTTTGTGTGAATGGGGTTTAAATACCAGCACACTATTTTTGGGAGCAAGGATCACTCATGCCATTTGTTTGGCTTGAAAGCTTTGCCTTTGGCCTGACCTCTTTTTCTTTCAGTCACACCCACCACCAGAATTCCACTTCTGGTGAAGAAATTCCTCTTTTCTTTCACTTTCCCACAGTCTCTATTTCTCCTTCTCTCTCTCCAGCTGTAGCAATACCCACTCTTTAAAAGACTTTTATTATTGGAATTATGTACGAACCAAAAGTCAACAGCTTTTATTTCAATTTTCATATGGAGCTGGGACTTTCCTTCTTAATTTACTAAGACCTCCAACTGCTTCTCATAGTTGAACTTATAAAAATGACTGGGACATCAGGATATTTGCAGTTCAGCATCTGATCACAGTGTCAAATTTGTTGTTCTGAGAAACCATTCACGAGAAGTTCACCATCCACATGAGGTATTTTCTTTAAGCAAAATATTTGGGAATGGGAGGTGGGGGGATGAATATTGGAGACAGTCTTTTGACTGGGAAATGCAAAGTCCTCAGTGCACAATGGTCCCTTTGATGTGTTGCTGTTATTCTCCAGCAACCGCAATGTTGAATTTGCTTCCAGAGTCTTGGGTACCACCATGAACCATGCGTGATTTCAGTCTTTCCTCTCCTGCAATAAGAGATCATGTTAATGAGCCACATGTTCATCCTTTGCTCACCCCAATTAGTTCTGCTGGCCTCAGGGGGTTTAAGATGAACAGCTAAGACATACGGCGATTGCAGCAGAGTTTCATAGTTACAGGGAAAGCTGGAGCTTCCCAGAGGACAAATACATGTCACCCTCTAAAAGATTGAGACAGGAGAATGTGGGTTTTTGTGGCTGGTGAGACAGTTCCAGTGCAGAGTCCGAAGAGTCTGTTGCCAGTGGATGGCAACACTAATGTCCCCTGAACATGCTGAAGTATTATGAAGAACAGGTAACAAAGCAGTTCCTACAGCTTTCTTGCCAAAAAAATCTTGCCATATTTTGGGGAGAGTGAAAGGAACTCGGCTGAGGACTTGAGGATCTGTTGGACTGAGAAACCTAAAATTGGCATCTCCATTTCTCCCTCTTTCAGCTTTCACTCTTCCAAGACTGACACGCTTCACTTGGTTTTGATAAGGAGAATGAAATAACCATTCCCCTAACCTTAAGTCCTTGGAGGAGAGCTTTGAAGGACTTGAGAGAGCCCCAGTATGGTAATGCTGTCAGCCTAGAAAAAAGCAACAGGGTTCTTCTGGTCTGAACAAGCTGCCTGCATTCTTAGGGCGGAAATGAAACATCTTTGTATGAAGGATGGATGGATGGATGGATGGATGTTTGTGTGCGTGCGTGCGTGCGTGTGTGTGTGTGTATTTAACCTTAGGTCTAGATTATTCAAAAATTTGAGCATTTTTCTAATATTTCTTTAGATATATTAAAAATCTGGAAAAATAATCTTACATGGAAAATACACACAATGTTGTGTACATTTCTCTAAATGCATGCATTTTGAATGCAGTTTGGCCTGACATGGTATGTTTTAAGCACTGCCTTCCAGTCTAATACATTTTTGAACATTATTTTCATGATTATACCACATTTCTCAATTCACTTCCCTCTAGTTTCTTTCAGTACAATTTTTCTTGAATTGAAATTGAGGGTGCAGACAAAATTATCTTTGTGAGTTATCTGTTTCTTTATTTGGATAATATAATGCCAAACCTCCTTCCTTCCTTCCTTCCTTCCTTCCTTCCTTCCTTCCTTCCTTGCTTGCTTGCTTGCTTGCTTCCTTTCTCCCCTCATCCTATAATGTCCTTTCCAACTCCATTCCCCCATGACCTTTCCAGTGAAACAGGGACTGAGAGGGAAGAGAGGTTAAGAAGAACTAAGGAATTGCAATTAAGAGAATCTGAAAGAGATGATACACATAAGAACGCTTTGAATGCTTTTGTTAAGGTAACAAAAAGAGCTATAAAATTGATCCCTCAGTATGTATTCACAGGTGGACCTTTCATGTGAGAGGATGTGCAATGGAACAGCTGTCTCTGAGTTTGTGCTACTAGGACTCTCCAGCAACCCTGACGCCCACTTCATTCTCTTTTCTCTCTTCCTTGTAATTTACTTGGTGGCCCTGGTGGGAAACCTTCTTATTCTTCTCCTGATCAGCTTGGACAAGAAGCTTCATAACCCCATGTATTTCTTCCTGGGCAATCTCTCAGTGGTGGACATCGGGTACACAACCAGCACTGTTCCCAAGATGCTACTGAACTACCTGTCTCAGGACAAGAGCATCTCCCTGACAGGCTGCTTCATCCAGATGTTTTTCTTTATCACCTTTGGTGGCACTGAGTGTCTTTTGCTGGGTGCCATGGCATATGACCGATATGCAGCCATTTGCCATCCACTGCATTATAGCATGCTCCTGAGCCCCAAAGTCTGTGCGTGGCTTGCAGCAGCTGCTTGGATTCTTGGCTTGTTTAACTCAAGTGTGCACTCTGGTCTGATGTCCCTTTTAAAATTTTGCAGAGGCAACATTATCCATCACTTTTTCTGTGACATCCCACACTTATTCCCGCTCTCTTGCTCAGACACCAAGGTCAATAAAATTGCTATATTTCTGGTAGGTGAAGGTTTAGGCATGGGGTCATTCCTGGTTACCTTAGTGTCTTATGTCTACATTGTCTTGGCTATCCTCAGGATCCGCACCAAGGAAGGGCGCTTCAAGGCATTCTCCACTTGCGCTTCCCACCTGACTGTAGTTAATATTTACTTTGTCACCATCATTTTCACATACCTAAAACCCAATTCTACTTATTCCCAGCAGCAGGATCAAGTATTGTCTGTGCTCTATGGGATCCTAACCCCTATGCTTAATCCAATCATCTACAGCTTCAGGAACAAGGATGTGCAAGGGGCACTCAGGAAAGTCATGCTATGAACTCAATGGGTATCCAGTTAATTGACTTTGGAAGACCCAGTCCCTTTCCCCTAGATAGGTGTGTTCCTTATTCATGATATACTTGCAGGTTCTGCTTTAGCTTGAATGCCAGTGAATTGATACTTATCAATATATAAAACAATGATATTCCATGGTTTGAATCCTATGTTGTTATTTACAAAACACAATTGTTCTTGCTGGACCATGCCAAAGGAGGTGGGCACTAGTGGACAGCCATTGTAATTAACTGTTGTTATGTAAACCTCTCTATGAGTCCTGCATGTACTTGATGGAAAGGAAAAGAGGATTAAGCATGAAGGAATGGATGGAATGGAAGATTGGGGTTTCGGTGCACCTCAGCACCACTTATACTGGCACAGTGGTGTGGTCAAGATAGCAGGGATTGGCAAGGGCCATCACCTCTGTCCTCTCTCATTGTGTTTACCTTTGGGATAAAAATAAGGAACCAAACGCTAGCTTGGGAAGAAACACATTTGCATCCACCAGCCCAAATACACAGGACTCTATCCATTGATTCAATGTAAGAGAAACTCAAAGATATGGATTAGAATTAAAATGAGGAATACTGTACTTCAGATTCAAGCTGTGACTCTCACCAGTTCTGGAAGGTCAGGATGACAGGATTAGATGGGTGATTTGCATGACACACCGGCCCAGGCTGGCAATAAACTACAATGAATTGGTTATCATTGAACCACCCATGGTGTTATCTAGCAGAGGTTTAGGGTTAGGGTTAGGGTTAGCAACAAAACTGGTTCAACCCAATGGTCCTCCAGTGGGTTTCCCAGGGGACAAAGTGGCCAGATCTATCTATCTTTTGTGAATCTATTCTGCCTCAGTACACTGAGTTTTCCATTTCCCTTTTCTTTTTTCTGATTGCAATCTCTGCTAACCACCTTTCCTGATCCCCATTTTGACAGCTGTAAGGGAAACTAGAGGAGGACTATTGCTGGTTAACAATCCCATTTACAGGCATTATTGATGCTGATACATCTCAAAGGGAAAGCAAAGGTTTAGTCAAGAATTCTTTGCTTTTTTTTTTTTTTTTGAAAAGGAATCTATGCAACTATGAATCTATGCAACATTACCTGTCCAGTTTCTTTTCAAAAGGGAGCCTTATTTTGACAGCAACCAAAAGGGGGAACTCATGTAAATGGAGAAGTTCATTCTTTTCCATATTTCTGATCATGCAGAATCTTTTGAGCAAGTCGTAAAGTAACCACATTCTTAGGAGAGTCAGGTTAAAGGGCAGGGCAGGGCAAAATGGATCATGGGTTCAGGGGATGTATATCCCAGCATCCTGCTCTCATTAGCAAACATCAATCAGGCCACTGGTATGTCTCAAAAGCTTTACCTTTGACCTGACCTGTTTTACCTTCAGTCACACCCATCAGAATTTAGCCCCTGAGAATTGAAAGGAACTGAAAGGCAAGAGGCCAGGTGATGTCACATGAGGGACTATCTTTCATCAAACATTACTAGAAATTGACTCGGGGGTAGACATTGTTCAGTGGCGGCCACTTCTCCAAGAAATGCATAGTCTTCAGTACACAATGGTTCCTTGGATGTGCTACTGTTACACACCAGCAACCTCAATGTTTAATTTTGCTTCCAGAGCCTTGGGCACCATGCATGAGTTCCAGATTTAGGCTTTCCTCTCCTCCATCAAGAGAATATGGTAATGAGCCCCATGTTTTTCTTTTCCTCACCCCAATTTGTTATGTCATCCTCAGTGGGCTTAAGATGAACAGCAAAGACATATGGCGATTGCAGCAGTTTCATGGTTGTATGGAAAGATGAAGTTTCTCAGAGGACAAATACATGTCACCCTCTAAAAGACTGAGACAGGAGAATGTGGGTTATTGTGGCTGGTGAAAGAGTTCCAGTGCAGTGTGTGAAGAGCCTGTTGCCAGTGGATGGCAACACTAATGTCTTCTGAACATCCTGAAGTATTATGAAGCACAGGTAACAAATCAGATCTTGCAGCATTCTTACCAAAACAATCTTGCCATATTTTGGGGAGAGTGAAAGGAACTCAGTTGAGGACTTGAGGATCTGTTGGTCTGAGAAACCTAAAATTGGCATCTCCATTTCTCCCTCTTTCACCTTTCACTCTTCCAAGACTGACACCCTTCACTTCCATGAAATAAGCATTCCCCTTACGTTATATCTGTGGTGGAGAGCTTTAAAGAACCTGAAATAGCCCAGTATGATAAGGACGTCAACTTAGAAAGAAGCAGTGGGGCTTGTTCAGAGGACTGAATACAGCTTCAAGGAGGGAATACTGATCTAAACAAACTCCCTGTATTCTCTGGGTGGAAATGAAATAGCTTTGTATGATGGATGGATGGTTGTGTGTTTGTGTGTATTTGTAGGTCTGGGTGCGTGTTTAACCTTAGGTCTAGTTTATTCAATACTTTGAATAGTTTTCTAATTTTTCTTTACATACATTGCAAATCTTGGTAAACATTCTTACATGGAAAATGTACACAATTTTGTGCACAGTTCTCTAAGTACATGTTAGGTGTGCAGTTTGTTTTAATGTACACATAGATTTTTATCATTATTTTCAAGATTACACAACATTCCTGTATTCATTCATCCCCAGCTGCCTTGAGTCATTTTTTTCTCGGAGGAAAGTTGGAGTTGAAATCAAATCTGTCTCTGTAGCAAATTGCTTGTTTGTTTCTTTAACTAATAACTTAATGCGGACATGTGTTGTACTGCTAATCTTGTAGAATCACCCTGCTGCAATTCAGGTAGTGACTGAAAAGGCTGGAGATAGGAAAGTTTCTATTTAAATGCAAATACTGGGAAACATGAAATCATTTTCAGCTTTGGAAACACTCTTTTGCCTCTAGCCTCAAATCTGTCTTTGTCAGGGGACATGTCAGGATAGTAGCAGGATAGCACTGTAGACTTCTCCCTTTGCAAACTCAGGAAGCAGCTTTCATCCAGATGTGCATTTAGAGAGACATTTCTCAATGTTTTACTCTATGAATCCAGGACACTATTGTGGACATTGAAGTGCACCTTACACCAAGTCAGGTTGCAGTGTAGCAGCAACACCCTTCCCACCAGTAGAAGACTAATGAAAGAGTAGAAGCAGAGGGAAGCAAGCATCAAGGAATAATGTGTGTGTGCAAAAATGAGCTGAGCCAATCCGGGCCATCAGAAATAAACCCAGCAAAGCTGACTTTGAAGCTCTATGCTTAGCAGGAGCAGCAGAGGCATCTCGATTCCCCAGCAGCTTCTGCTCTGCATTTGCACTTAAAACAGCCACCTAGCTGCCTCATTTGGATGGGAGGGGGCTGGAATGCCACAAGAATGTTTCCTATCCTGACATATGCCTGCCCCACCTCCCCAATCCTCTCCCCCTTTACACCTTAGTGACTCTGAGGTCACTATGCTAACCTGAAGAAGCAGCAAGGAGGGATCTTCAGCTGGGAGGTCAGAGCTCTGCTTGCAGACATGGATCACATGTCCTTGCTCCCTCCCATGCTGTCATACACTTGGCCCTTTGTTAAGTTATTCAGTCAGTAGAGTTGGTTGTGAATGGCAACAGGGGAAAAGAAGCTACTGAAAAGCGATTTGCTATTAGGGCTTTAGTACTGCAACTCTTGTTCCTTATTAGTTGCTGCTTGTTTTGAATATTGACCTGTCACATGGATAAATTATTCTTATATTGCTATTATTCTTCCCTTTCAGTCTTCCAAGAATGTCACCTTTCATTTTCATGGATAAACACACTGCTACCCTTTTGTTGATAGAGAGGAGCTTGAAAGGGTGTGAGAGAGGCCTGCTGGGCTCAGTCCAAATGGAGAGAGATGAACAATGGTGTTTTCATAGACATGAAGACAACTCAAGGAGGGTTCACTTCTTGTAGTTTGAACAGTCTGCCCCCTTCTTCTGGGGAAAAGGAGGGAAAGATTAATGCATCCATTTTTCCCATTATAAGTTCCATTCATTAGTGTTTGGAACATTTAGGCACCATGGAAGTATGATTTCTTCCCTCCCTCCCTCCCTTTCTCCTGCCATCCCAAAACATCCCATCCTGTCCCATACCAATCCAGTGAAAGAGGGTCTGAGAGACTTGAAAGGATCAAGACCAGCTGAAATGTGAGAATGAATTTATGGAAGGAAAAAAATGAGAATGCTTGCAAAATGTTTGGTTTGTCTACATATGGCTGTTACATTTCACAGTGCACACTTTGGCCCTGAAGATAAGAGGAAGAAAAATAAAATTGCTCCCTCAATAGCTCTTCACAGATGGAGCGTCCATGTGAGATGATGTGCAATGGGACAGCTGTTGCTGAATTTATGCTACTAGAACTCTCCAGCAAGCCTGACACTCACTTTATTCTCTTTGCTCTCTTTCTTGTAATTTACTTGGTGGCCCTGGTGGGGAATTTTCTTATCCTTCTCCTGATCAGCATGGACAAGAAGCTTCATAACCCCATGTATTTCTTCCTGGGCAATCTCGCGGTGGTGGACATTGGGTACACAACCAGCACTGTTCCCAAGATGCAGCTGAACTACCTGTCTCAGGACAAGAGCATCTCCCTGACAGGCTGCTTCACCCAGATGTTTTTCTTTATCTCCTTCGGTGGCATTGAGTGTCTTTTGCTGGGGGCCATGGCATATGACCGATATGCAGCCATTTGCCATCCACTGCATTATAATGTGCTCATGTGCCCCAGAGTCTGTGCCTGGCTTGCAGCAGCTGCTTGGATTCTTGGCTTTTCTAACTCAGGTGTACACTCCAGTCTGTTGTCCCATTTATCATTTTGCAGAGGCAACATTATCCAACACTTTTTCTGTGACATCCCACCCTTATTCCAGCTCTCCTGCTCAGACACTAAGGCCAATAATATTGCTATCTTTGTGGTAGGTGGAGGATTAGTCACAGGCTGATTCCTGGTTATTCTAGTGTCTTATGTCTACATTGTCTTGGTATACTCAGGATCCACACCCAGGAAGGGCATCTCAAGGTATTCTCCACCTGTGCTTCTCACCTGACTGTGGTTAATATTTACTTTCCCACAGTCTTTTTCACGTACCTACATCCAAACTCCTCTTATCCCCAGCAGCCTGTGCTGCCTGTGCTCTATGGAATCCTAACCCCTATGCTTAATCCAATCATCTACAACTTGAGGAACAAGGATGTGCAAGGGGCACTCAGGAAAGTCATCCTAAGAACTCAACAGATATTCAGTTAATTGGCTTTGCACGATCCAAACCCTTTTCCCTGAATAGGCTTTGTTCCTTATTCATGATACAATTGCAAGCTCTGTTTTGGTTTGAATACAAGGGAGTGGGTGCATATCAATATATTAAACAATTATATCACATACTGTGAATTTCATGTTGTTATTTGCAAAACACAATTGCAATGGTTGGACCTTGCCAAAGGAGTTTGGCTCTAGTAAACAGCCATTCCAAATCACTGCTGTTATGTAAAACTCTCTCTGAGTCCTACATCTGCTTGATGGACCAGTGCAGGAAGAAATGAAAGGGTATAATTTCTGTGCTACTCAATGCCAATCCTCTCTTGTTGACATTGCTGCACCTTCAGGGGCATGCAGACTGCCCCAAGAATTGCTTTTACTGTTACAGATTTAAACTTCTTAACTGCATTTACTTGAACTTGTTTTCACTGTGAATGCTGATCACATCCTCAGTTCTTTGCCACTGAAATCAATGGTGCTTAACATTATGTTTGCACTTGTACTATGACTTGCATTCATTTCCAAAATATTCTATTCAACAGCCATTTGGGCTAATGGCTAACTCTTGGGCTATGAATTTCAGATTCTTTTTCCTGCTATCTATGTTATCGACCTTTAGCAGGTCAGTACAGATAGCAATAGTGGTACTTTCATCTTGCCTCTCCCCCCTCCCGGCCACAGCAAGACCAGAGGGGCGGGGAGAAGGGAAAGAATGAGTAGGATGGGTGAGGGTGTGAATGGATCGTGTGTTCTGCCCTCACTCATTCCATTTATCTTTGTAACAGAATTAAGGAGCCAATTGCTAACTTGAAAAAGAACAAATTTTGCATCCACAGATCAGAAAACCCAGGACTCTATCCATTGAATCTAAGGCAGTTTCAAAGATGTGGATTGGAATAAGAAAAGGGGGATACTCTACTCCAGATTCAAGCTATGACTTTCACCAGCTGTGGAAGGTCAAGCTGAGGGGACTTGATGGCTGATCTGCATGACACACCAGCCCAGGCTGCCAATAAGCTACAGTGAATTGGTTATCTGTGAACGTGCCATGATGCATCAGGCAGAAGTTTAGAGCAGCAAAACTGGATCAATGCAAGGATAATTCAGTGGATGTCCCAGGACACACACAGAGAAGGAGACGGGGAGACGGGGAGAGGGGGAGAGAGAGATCCAGTCAATCTACCTATCTTTTGTCAACCTTTTCTGCCTCAATGCAGCAAATTTTCCATTTCCTTTGATTTTTTGGTGATTGCAATTTCTGCAAGCCACCTTTCCTGATCCCCTTTTTGACAGCTGAAAGGGAATCTTGAGTGGGGCTATGGGTGGTTAACAATCCCATTTTCAGGAATTATTGCAGTTGATAAACATCTAAAGGATAATTGCTTCTAAACAAAGATTCAGTCAAGAATTCTTTGATTTTGTTTTTGAAAAGGAAACTAAATCTATGAATGCACATGATACCTGTCCCGTATCTGTTCAAAAGGAAGCCCTATTCTGACACCTGTCAAAAGTGGTAACTCCTGCAAATGAAAAGTGGTAACTCCTCCTCATTATTTTTTATACATAAAAATCTTTGAACAAGAAGAAAATTAAGCATTATTGCAGGAAAATCAAGTCTAAGGGGAGGGGAGGGGAGCTGAAGACAGCTTCAAGGAGGGATTACTAATTCTAGTCTAAACAATCTGTCTGAATTCTTTGGGAGAAAATGCAATGCAAGTTTATGATGGATGGATGTGTGTGTATTTGCGTGTGCATGTGTTTTTTAATCTTAGGTCTAGTTTATTCCAAGCTTTGAGAATTCTTCTAATATTCATTTAGTTTCTGTTCAATTCGAAAAGATCTTCCATGGAAAATATACTAAATTTTCTATGCATTGGTTGCTTAGCAGCAACTGCTCTGCGTCCAGTGGAAGACTAATGGTATAGCTGAAGCAGAGCGAAGTGAACATCAAGCAAGAATGGGAATGTGGAGGAACAGTGGACAGGATTCAAGGCAAAATGAGCAAAAGCTTAAAAATAAATCAGAAAGGAACCCAGCTAAGATAGTTTTAGCATTCTGTGCTAAGCGGTAGCAGCAGTGACAACCCTACCTCCCAGCAGATTCTGCTCTGCATTTTCTCCTAAAACAGCCATCTATTTACAGCATTTGGATTGAAGGGAAGCTGGACCCCTACCAGAATACCTCCTATCCTGCCATATTTCTGCCCCAACTGCCCAGAATTGTTCTTTTGCCCTTTCTCTGAGGTCACTTTGGTAACCAAGAGAAGCAGCTAGGACACTTTTTTCTCCATTGTCTATCAAGAGAGAAATGGGATCTGAAAGCAGAGCTCCAAATATGAGGCCTTCTCTGCTCCCAACCTTAGATCTGGAAATCTAAATTATCCCATGCCCTCCCCCTGCTGTCATAGAATTAGTCCCTTGGTTAATTAGTCAGTAGAATTGGTTGTGAATGACAGCAGGGGAAGAGAAGCTATTGAAATGTAATGTTAGGGCTTTAGTACTACTGTTTTGTTTTTTACCAGTTACTGTTTGTCCAGAATATTGACCTGTTAAATGCATACGAAACATTCATTCATGCACAAATGTTTACACTATTAAATATGTGTGTTCTAGCATGGATGGATTTGAAGTGTGCCAATTCTCAGCTTAAATACTAGATTGCACATTCATGTTCCTTCTGCCAGTAATCTATTTTTGAGGACACAGAATACAGCTCTGTACCGCTATCATACAGAAGACCATCTTAGCAATGGACACGTTCTGCATTTGTGGATGTAGATGAATCATGTGGAGCTTGTGCTGAGCATTGGTAGTCAAATGTCTTGCTGGCCTGTTGCAACAGTGGCTATTCTATCAGAAAGCATTGTTTCCCAATACTGGGACTTTTGTATTAAATCACTGATTGATTGTATGGATTACAATGCTTTCTGTATTTCTCGCTTCCGGATGTCTGGAATTCATTACATTTTACCGCATAAGGTGTAAAGGTTTTCAAATATAACACGTTGAAGTGCTATCATGCAATCAGGATTGAGCATTTATATCTGATGTACAATCTCCGTATTTTAATGTTATATGATTTGTTTGTTTGCTTTTCTATTGTCATGTTTTTTTCTCTGTTCTGCTTCAGCTAGGTGGTTGGAATGGGATTTCATTCTTCTGGCTTTGTATGGTGTGAAAGCAGAAGCTATTTTACCAAGACTGGGGAAAACCAATTTCAATCTTTCCTGCTATACTTTTCTGTTTTACTAGAATACCCATTGTTTTCCAATATGTAATCAACTACTGTTAGAGTGCTCTTCTAACGATTTATGAAAAAATGCAAATATAAGTTGATTAACTCATCTTGCATTTTTAGCAACCACAAGGTCCTACATATCCTGCTAGGAAATTAGGCAACGGTTTTCCCACAGACTGTATTCTACCTTCAGTCCTAAGTCTGGATGTGATCAATAAAGACTGATTTACAACTGCAGAGACTGACTGCCTTATGCAGCTACCATAATTGGGAGATCAAACCCTTAAAGGCCTCACTATTCTGACTGAAGGTAGACTCTCTAAAGCTTATGGGAAGTTTAAACCAGACAAGTGTCACAGCATTTGTTCTTATTGGATTTTCCATTGACCCAAAATACCAAACTCTCCTCTTTGTCATAGGCCTGCTAGTCTATCTGTTAACGCTGGTGGGGAATCTAGCCATCATTGCACTGAAACAGATAGACCAATGCCTTCAAACTCCCATGTACTTCCTGCTGGGCAACCTCTCTCTCACTGAGATCTGCTACACCACCACCATGGTACTGAGATTGCTGTGGGACCTCTTGTTCAGGGAGAAAAATATCTCCTTCATAGGATGTGCACTCCAGATGTGTTTCTCACATTAGGAAGTACAGAGTATGTGCTCCTCTTGGCCATGGCATACGACCATTATGCAGCCATCTGCCATCCATTGCACTACACTATCATCATAAACCATCCAGTACTTAGGGGTTTGCTGGCAGTTCCCTGGGCAATTGACAACATCAATTCCATCATTAACACAGGAATGATCTTTTTCTTAAAGTTTCTGCCACTCCAACAAAATTGGTCATTTCTTTTGCGATATCCCTCCCCTTTTATTCCTCTCTTGCTCTGACATTTCCATCAGCCAGCTGGTGACCTTCATCATCTCTGGATGTGTTATCATTCTGCCATTCTGCTTGACACTTCTCTCCTACATCCTCATTGTCTCCTCTGTGCTCAAAATCCACACAGCTCGTGGTAGGATGAAGGCATTCTCCGCCTGTGCTTCCCACCTCACTGTGGTCAGCATCTTCTATGGAACCATCATCTACACTTACATACGGCCCTCTGCCACTCATTCCAGGGAAGAGGATCAACTGATTTCTGTGATGCACACCATTGTAACTCCAGTGCTCAACCCCTTGATTTACAGGTTCAGGAACAAAGAAGTACAGGGGGCATTGTGCAGAGTCCTTGGAAAGATCAAGTAACAGTTGTGAGATCAGTGTCTTGAAGAGTTACAATCCTCCACAAAACTAATCAGGAATATTTATATTGTTGTCATCTTGATCTGCACTTTTGGGGAGCAGGGGAATACGGAAGCATTTGCTTCAGTAATATGTAATATGACCAATTCCATCTAATATTATTGTATGAAACTATTATTATTGATTACAAATAGGAATGGGCACATCAGTCAACCTGATTATGTCAAAATATTCATTTTTCCATTGTTTGGCCCATTCTTTCTCAGCTCTGTGTGAGTTTTCATTTTCTGTACAGAAATGTTTATGCATTTTTGTGCATGCTTTTCAAATTCATTTGGTTTTGTAGCCATGCACCTCTTATGCACATTTTAGAAATGTATCTGGGGAGTTGTCTGGGTGGGGTTGGAAGGGGTTCTTTTTTGCTCATCCTTCAAGTTATGTGCAGGTTGTCAAATGCATTTTGTGGGATGCAGAATGCAGCACAAGTTCATAGATGCATACATATAATAATAGAAGTAGTCACCTAGATAAGCAACAACAATTATTTCAGAAATCACTGGGAGCACTGGAAGGCTGGACCAACATACTGACCATGTGTCTACCTGGGAGTGGGTAGTGGAGAAGGAAGTTTCAACAGAGTGCTTTAGTGGATTGACTTTGTGCCTCAGGAAAGTTTGTGACACACGCGAAGGATTGTGCCAGTAGTTATGATGCAGCTATGTGGGAGTTTGGCTTTTCATTGGTTTCAGACTGCTCGAGAAAAGTTAGCCTCCATGCCACAGCTATATAATGAACATAAAAATTAACCTATCTCCAAAGAGCATTGAGGAACTTGAAAGGGATTAGGAAGAACTTACCATACTGAAAATAGCATATAAACAGCAATATACATGATATAACATAGAGTGAAATCCTATATATTGGAGTAAGCTCCATTTAATTTAATGGGGCTTGCCTATGAGTAAAAATTTGGGGCTATTCTCATTAAAGTATTACTCTTTGTTTCACATTTTAAAGTACTATCCTTTGAAATCAGAAGAGTGAACAAAATCCGACCAAAATTAAGTACATTTAAATCCTGTTAAACCTCTTGGAAGAATTTAAATACTTTCCCACAAATTTCGGTGTCAATAAACTTTGGCTGGATCATTCCAGTATTTTGAAAATATTTTTGAAGGTTGCTTGGGTATTCACTGTTTTTGTTATTTATTATTATCCTGCTTTCAAACACTATGGAATTCAGTTATTACACCAGTTTGCAGCCTAATGATTAGGAGGAACCACCTTGTTTCTGTTGTAAGGGATTTTTTGCACTCTGGCCAAAAAATGAAGAGTGCAAAAGAATGAAGACAGCATGAATTCTTCATATGCCTCCAAGGGACTAATTCAAGTGGTCCCACAGAGGAAATGTCACACCAACCAATTGTTTATACCATACTGTATTCTACCACTGTTTGTCAACAGCTTCCAGAGCCACTCAAGGACCTCCATAACTTAATTATACATTCCATTATAGTTGTCAAGTGTAAACTGGTATATTGAAATAATGAATACGAATATGAATACAATGATGATTAGGTCTTCAAAAATCAATTATCAACTGACAGGATTCTGTTTTCTGTGGGATTTATTTGTTCTATTAGACCTTTGTTACTGATAATGCATGCACATGAGATCCATCTCCTTGTGCACCACCTATTTATATAATTATTGTCATGGTTTATTGGCTCAAAGTGATAAAGATGAGAGAAAATTCCAATATGTATTTGTCTTTTCTTTGATCCACAAATAATTAGAAAAGATGATCAATATTTCTCTTGGCTTTGCAAACTGTTTGTCTATGGAGCTGCCTTCAGAAGGAATAAATATGGATATGTAACCAGTAATGTTGTCTATAGAAATCATGTTATGCTACCAAGAAGAAGAAAAATCCCCTGGGAACACCTTAGTGGCTTATTTACTACACCTGGAGTAATGAAGTTTGGAGATGCATCTTGGAGGAGGTGCATGCCGAAGAGCTGCTAACTTAGGTATGGCCTTTAATGAAGACAGCAGTTTTATCTTTTTCCAGAATGAGTTTTCACAGAGGATGACTACTTGCAATAAATAAAAAAGGTCAGTTATATGGCCATGTGTGGCCCTTCCCTTGCCCCTTGTGCAGCTCCCATGTGAATTTACAATAATGAAGACAGCGTGAATTCTTCATATTCCTCCAAGGGACTTATTCCAGTGGTCCCACAGAGGAATAATCTGAGCTTGGAAACAGTTTCAACAACACCTTCTTGTGGAGCTATTCATCAACAAGAAAAGGTGGTGGATAGCAAATAAAAAGGCACCTAACTTGAAAAGTCACCTAACAAAATGGCAGAAAATGAGGTGGCTAGATGGAGCCACTGAAGCAGTTAGTGTGAGTTTAGATGGACTCTGGGGGATGGTGGAGGACAGGAGAGCCTGGAGGAATGTTTTCCATGGGTTTGCGATGGGTCAGACACAACTTTGCGACTAACATAACGTCACTTGAAATGATGATTCTCTTATGACTTCAGAGTTGCTCCTTGGAAATGCAGTAGCAGTGGAATGACAAGGTTTGTTTTTCATTCCCTTTTGTTCTGAAAATTGGACTAAGCCATTTCTTACCACTAAGGTAAGAAGAGCCCTCTCACCCCCACCCCCCCCCACACACAAATGCAGACATGCACAAGAGTAATGTAATTTTTCCCTCCAAAATATTAGCGAAAAAGTACCTTCCCTTTCCCCTGAGGATAGATGGTTCCATGAAGGGGTGGGTGGGGGGTTATTTATTCTGTCAATGAACAGAAACATTGTTATATGTACTTCAGGTGTACAAAGGATTCCTGTAATGTAGCTGGTGCTGGAATTAATTTCATTTTTTTCAGCTTGAAACTGTGCTGTTTCAAGTTTTAAAATAGGTGCAGCAGTTGCCACAAGTATATATTGAAATAACAGTGTCTATACTAATAAAGTCCAAAGCATATGAAATAGAAGGCATCTCAGCAATGTCTGTTAAGAAAGCAGTGAAGTACTGAGAGAGCAGCTAACACTGTGGCACTGTTCAGCAACAGTGAAGTATTTAACTGCAAAACTATTCATATACAGTCAATTGCAGATAATCCCTGGAAGAGCAATAAAGGAGGGCAGGGACTGAAAGAATTAGGAGAAAATCATATATGGGATGAGAGCCTGGTTTCACCATAGTAAATTTTGTTCAGAGAATCTGATAGCCCTTATCATGAGGGCCAAAGTTAAGCCCTACCTAAGGATTGTCAGTACTCAGTCCCTTTTATTATGTGTTTCCACTCTTCCTAAATGTACAGTTCTTGTGTAATGATGGAAGCCTTCTGAATAATCTCAGTGCCTTCTAAAAAGAGAAATTAATCTTCAAAATGGAAAGTAAGAATCAAACAAAGCTGAAAGAGTTCATCCTTTTGGGACTCTCAGATGACCCTAAACTGCAGATGCCACTCTTTGCTGTGGGGCTATTGCTCTATGTGCTCACCTTGACAGAGAATCTGGCCATCATGAGTTTAATACAAGTTGACCAGCACCTCCACTCACCTATGTATTTTTTCCTGAATAACCTGTCTTTTACGGAAATCTGCTACATCACCACCACCATGCCGAGGATGTTGTGGGACCTCCTGTCAGGGGACAAGACCATCTCTTTTGCTGGCTGTGTGCTCCAAATGTACTTCTTTCTAACCACGGCTGCCACTGAGGGTGCTCTACTCTCGGCCATGGCATATGACCGCTATGCTGCCATCTGCCACCCACTGCGCTACACCTTGCTCATGAATCAGCCTGTCTGCAGATCACTTCTGGCAGCTTCATGGTTCATAGGAAAGCTCAATGCCATTGTCAATACCACCTTTGTCTTCTCCCTGAACTTCTGTGGTTCCAATAAGATTGTGCATTTCTTTTGTGACATCCCACCAATCCTACATCTTTCCTGTTCTGATACCTCCCTGGCTGAGTTAGTGACTTTCATAACCTCTGGCAGCATCATGATAACTACAGTCTCCTTAATTGTCCTCTCCTACTCCTTCATTGTCTCAGCTGTGCTCAAAATCCATACAGCTCAGGGGAGAGTCAAGACATTTTCCACCTGTGCCTCCCACCTTACAGTTGCAAGCATCTTCTACAGCACTGCCATCTTTACCTACCTGCGACCCTCCTCTAGTCATTCTGTGGAACAGGACCGCCTGATCTCTGTATTGTACACAATTATCACTCCTTTGCTGAACCCCCTGATCTACAGCTTCAAGAACAAGAAAATGCAAGCTGCATTTCTGAATGTTCTTAGAAAAAAAAAGGACATTATCTTCTCTGAATGCTCGAGTTTCCTTTTTAGTGGCCATGTTACATTAAGAAACATCAGAAGAATTAAGTGGGAAATACTTTTCATTTATTGGCTTGTTCATGAACCACAGTTATCATTCTGAATTAACCTGAGCAACCACAGTGACCCTAGAGATGCAGTTCTTTATCTCTGCTGTGGTCTTAAATAAACTCATATCTACAGCAGGTGCAATTTACATTTATAAGGACATTCTATTTGACATCAATTCAATCAGCCATCAGTAATATCCAAATCAGTTCTCTTTGCAGTAAAAGCAATAGACAAACCTATTCAGAAGCATCAGTGCTGCAGATTCTTCAGGGGAAAATGACCCTACTTTGCTCACCCCCAGAAATACTATTTGCTGTTTGTTTTGTGTTTCATCACTTCATTGTAATAGTGAACTTGTCTCATTGTCAGTTACATCATGTGATGCATTTTTAATGATGTTCTATTTTGATATTTATTGTGAACTGGTTGGAGTGCAATCACCATAGAAAAACAGCATATAAATTTGAATAAAACTCCACCCCCCAGCAGTAATTGTTGCCTTGCATTTTTCTCCTCATACTTCTAGAATTCAATCAAAGCAGGAACTGTCTTCAGTTGTTCTCTCTTCCATGCAAGTGTGCACGCGTGTGCATGCGCGTGCACACACACACACACACACACACACACACACACAATTACTGTCTCATGAAAGGAAAAGTGGCCTTTCCCACACATCCTCCTTCATGGCCAAAGGGTTTTCTACACAAGGCTTTGCCATGAAATATTTAGGAATGTGTGAAGAACCTGATGGGGAAGGAGAACATCTAATGGATTTTCATGATTTTGACCCTGGATTATAGATTCTGGTTTCTTAGCCCTGCACTGATGGCAACCTGCTGTTATGAAAGCTGAGCATGCTCTGAGACGTTTAGCTATGTTGGGCCACAGTTTGCATATTTTTTAAAAAAAATCCACTATGTACTATTTGTACAAATTATGTGATTTGTAGTATTTGCACAAAGTAGAAGACAAAAGCTGTAGCATTCTTGTTTGATTTGGACAATTCAATCTAGAACTATATAGGTTCTGGCTTCCAATTCACCCCAATAATACAAAATATCAGTGTCCTTCATTCTCTAGTTCTGGTTCTTTACTGCTTCTTTAGACAATGTTGTGACCGTTCAGTTTTGGTTCTGTTCCTAAGGAGCATTTCCAGTTAAGTTTATAAGAGAAGGTGAAATACAGTATGCATTGTGAAAGCAAGCACTCTTTTCATTTGTGTGTTTGCACTGTTCTAATTTGCCAGAGTGCCACCTAGAGGTTATGTGGTAGAAAAGCAGGGAAAACACTGTATAGTACTTTGTTTTCAATTTTGCAAGTAATATGAAAGTTGATAAAGAAGATTAACAGCCTCAGATAGAAAAACTTCCTGTCCCCATTACCAGTCCTAACATATTTCAGATTTTTACACACAAGCAGAAAAATCACTCCACTTGCAATCAGTATCCCTCAAAAACATGGAGGTAATAATACTGTTTCCTACAAGCTAGGCTCCAGCAGTATGTGGACCAAGAACTACCAGAAGTATAGGCAGGATTTCGAAGGGAGAGAGGAACTAGAGATCAAATTGCCAACATATGCTGGATCATGGAGAAAGCCAGGGAGTTCCAGAAAAACATCTACTTCTGCTTCATTGACTATGCTAAAGCCTTTGATTGTGTGGATCAGAACCAATTGTGGCAAATTCTTAAAGAGATGGGAGTACCTGACCATCTTATTTGTCTCTTGAGAAACCTATATGCGGGTCAAGAAGCAACAGTGAGAACTGGGAATGGAACCAATGATCAGTTCAAAATTGAGAAAGGAGTTTGGCGAGGCTGTATACTATTTAACTTATATGCAGAACACATCATGAGGAAGGCGGGCCTAGATGAATCACCAGTTGGAATTAAGATTGCTGGGAGAAATATCAACAACCTCAGATATGCAGATGATACCACTCTCAGGGCAGAAAGTGAAGAGGAACTAAAGAGCCTCTTGGTGTGGGTGAAGGAGGAGAGCGCAAAAGTTGGTCTGAAACTCAATATTAAGAAAACTAAGATCATGGCATCTGGTCCTCTCACTTCCTGGCAAATAGATGGGGAAGAAATGGAGGTAGTAACAGATTTTATTTTCCTGGACTCTAAGATCACTGCAGATGCGGACTGCAGCCAAGAAATTAAAAGACTCTTGGTCCTGGGGAGGAAAGCTATGGCAAATCTAGACAGCATACTAAAAAGCAGAGACATCACCCTGCCAACAAAAGTGCGTATAGTCAAGGCCATGGTTTTCCCAGTTGCAATGTATGGCTGTGAAAGTTAATCCATAAGGAAGGGTGAGTGCCAAAGAATTGAGGCCTTTGAATTGTGGTGCTGATGGAGACTCCTGCGAGTCCCTTGGACAGTAAGACGATCAAACCGGTCAGTCCTAGAGCAGATCAACCATGACTGCTCTTTAGAAGGCCAGATACTGAAGATGAAACTCACATACTTTGGCCACCTAATGAGAAGGAAGGACTCCCTGGAGAAGAGCCTAATGCTGGGAACAATAGATGGCAAAAGAAGAAGGGGACTGCAGAGAATGAGGTGGCTAGATGGAGTCACTGAAGCAGTTGGTGTGAGCTTGAATGAACTCCAGGGGATGGTGGATGACAGGAAGGCATGGAGGAATGTTGCCCATGGGGTCGCAATGGGTCAGACATGACTTCTTGACTCACAACAGCAATAATGTGGGTACTGAAAATCCAAGAGAGACCAGCCAGAGGGGATATCCCTAGTCAACATCTAATCCTAAGGCTGGGTTTAGAGGTGTGATGATCCAGCTAGAATCTTCTCTCACCAGACATTTTTTTCTTTCTTTTCCCAGTCATTTGATGGCATATAATGGGTTATGCCACTTATTTTAATTAGGTCTACTTTTATGGAAAGTGTGTTAGATGTTAAACTGATTCATCCTTTTTTTGTTTTTTGTTTTGGACATTGGAATTTTGGCACTGTTTTTAATTTGGTTAACAGAGTGTGTTTCATTGTTTTTGTACTTTTATTGTATCTTTTGTGTCTTGATTAATTGTCTTGAACCATGCAACGTGCTTGTTTAGGGTTAGGGTTAGGTTTGTATAAGGCTGTATAGAAATAAAATAAAGAAATAATAAATTAATGAATAGGGAGTTTTCTGTGCCATCACTATGGATACATGACTGTGATGAGATTTGATCACAGACTAAAACACCCTAACTGTAAAGACTGACTTTTTTACAGTTTATCATACCAACACTAAAAACAGCAACTTTTGAAAAACTCTTGTTGTTGATCTCTTTCCAGAAAGATGAAAGAACAGCACTGGTTGATGGGTCTCAAGTGTGTATCTCCTAATGGAACTACTCAGGCTTGTTGCTCTCCCAACTTTAATTGGAAAGGCTTCTTTAAGTTGAAAGAGGTATTAGTGTGCCTGGATGATGACAGACAAAGCTGCAAAACACAATACATAACAATGCTCTTATACATTGTATAAGAATTATGTTGAGCCAAACCCCTTTCCAGTAAATCTCTGTTTGGAGTTATAGAGAAAAATGCATGGCTGAGTGGGTGTCATGGGCAGACTCCCAAGGACAGATCACAACCAGCATCTTTCAACCATTTTTACAGTGAAATAAAGAAAGAACATTCCTTTGGCAAAGTTTTTTCTTACCAGTCTGGGTCTACTGCTTCAGCAGCTGACCTGTCTGATTATCCAGCACAGGCCATCTTCAAGACAAAAGGATGAGTCCCCAGGGATGATAAGCCCCCTGTTTTCAAAAGGCTCACACCGCATATTGAAACAGACTCTCTTCCTTTCAAGCAAAACTCATCACACAAAGGAAAAAAAAAGAGTAAGTAAAAAAGAAGTTACTGCCAGGGACAGAAAGACTCTCTGCTGAAAAGATCAGGGAGGATTTGCAAGAGTAGATCATTAATGAGCATGGATTATGGTACTTTAGGGAAAACAAGGATGGAATAGGTGGAACCTGCTAGTCTGTGAATACTCGTGTATTTAAAGGAGAAAAATAAGAATATTACCTATAGATGATTGCCTTATTTGTCTATACTCATTGTCTCTCTCTTCTTTTCCTCCCCACACTTTCCTTCTTATTGTAAAAAGGAACATGTTGTAGGAGAATGACCTTCAGCAACTTCTCTAAAAGCCATGTCACTGGGTTTTCCTACTTGGCTTCTCTAATTACCACTGGCTTCAGAAACCATTCTTCTTTCTTTTCCTTGTCATGTACATTTTGACTTTGATTGGCAATGCTTTAGTCATCCTTGTGATCCAGATAGACCAACGTTTACATACACCAATGTATTACTTTCTCAAGAACCTCTCCTGGTTGGAAATCATCATCACCACAACAGTCACACCCAAGATGCTCAACCTGCTCATCTCAAAGGAAAATACTATTGCATTCTTTGCGTGTGCTTTGCAAGGATATATCTACTTTGTTGCAGGTTTCCACTGAAGTCCTCATTTTGGCTACCATGTCAGTGGATCGCTACATGGCCATCTGCCACCCTTTGAGGTACAAAGCTATCATGAGCAGTAGGGTCTGCCTGCTGATGGTTCTGTCTTGTTGGCTGTGCAGCTTCTTTTCCATTTCAGCCTCCATGCTACTAAAGGCAAGGCTGCCTTTTTGTGGTTCCAATGTAATTGATCCCTTTTTCTGTGACAGCGGCCCTCTTCTGGAAATGATATGTGCTGACACCCACTTCCTTCATGCCTTAGACTTGGCAGTTTCCTGCTTCATGCTTCTCAGCTCTGTATCTGTGACAACTGTCTCCTATATCTGTATCATTAGCACTGTGATTAAGATGCCCTCCAACAAAGGCCAAAGCAAAGCATTTGGTACATGCACCTTTCACATCACAGTGGCATCACTTTATCATGGCAGCTCCATCTTCATCTACATCAAGCCAGTGGGCAGCTCTTCAATGGAATTCAACAAGACTGCCACAGTGTTCAACACTGTGGTGACTCCATTGCTCAACCCCATCATTTACAGCTTCAGAAACAAGACAGTGAAGGAGGTACTGAGGGACACACTGGAAACAGTGCAGAGATGTTTGCAAGACAAGTGCTAAGTTTATTGTGGAAACAATGGAATAGAGGAATCCTGTTTCGTATTTCTGCATTGCCTCCATGAGATACAGAGCAGGGAGGGGTAGGGAGAGTAGGGAAAGAGAGTCACTAAGCTGAAAAGCCAAAGGTTACTCTGTACCCACAGCTTTTTTTTACTAAATTTTGCAACCAGCTAAGAAGGTAAGTCCTTTAGGTACCCCTTCCTCTAAAATCAGGTTACTATCATTGCTTCTTTTCTATTTCCTTCCCTTCTAAATTTCTGTGGTGGCCCAAAATTTTCATCAATGAGCTTCTTGGTTGCATTGACTTCCAATATCCTATTTCACCATTTTCATAACGCATTAGAAATCCAGGCACCAAGATTTAAGAAAGATGCAGGGAAATTAGGAAAGGTCCAGAGGAGGGCAACGAAAAGGCCCCAGGGCTTGGAAACACCGCCCTATGAGGAGAGACTGAGAGAACTGAACATGTTCAGCCTTGAGAAGAGAAGACTGATGGGGGACATTATATCCCTCTATATGTACCTCAAAGGCAAAAAGGCAAAAAGGGAAAAATTGAGATCTTTTCTTGATGGTGCCAGAGTGCAGAACATGGAATAATCAATTCAAGTTGCAACAATCCAGATTCATGCTGGGCATCAGGAAAAGCTTCCTCACTGTCAGAACAATGCTGCAGTGGAACCAGCTGTCTAGAAAGGTGGTGGGCTCTCCCACATTAGAGATATTCAAAAAGAAACTGGACAGTCATCTGAGTGGAATGGTGTAACTTGGTGTCCTGCAACAGCAGGAGGTTGGACTCAATGGCATTCATGGTCCCTTCCAACTCTACTCTTCTCTGATTCTATCATAAGAAAAGCCATGCTTGATCAGACTGTTTACACACATATCAAACCAGTTGCCTATAGGAGCCCTCAAGCAGGATGGGTGCAAGGCCTCTTCCTGCCCAAGCTCCTCAGCAGCTGGAGTATGCAGGCATGCCACTTCTGCTAAAGAAGGTAGCACATAGCCAGCAGGGCTAGCAGCCATTGGTAGTCTCCTCTCTCATGAATCCATCCAATATCTTTTTAAACCCACCCAGATTGGTAGCCATCATCACTTCCTGTGGCAGCAAATTCCATGGCTTACCTCTATGCTTAAACACCACCATCCGTTTCTTATTTAGCAAATATTATTTCCTCATTCTTCATCTTGATCTGTCTTCAGTTAGATTTTTCAGACTAATGTGGTAGGGAGGATAAATGAACCAAGTGAATTTTCTTCATAATGAATGCATGTGTGTGTTCTTGAGAACAAACCACCCTGAAAATAAAGTTCATGTGTCTGGATTTTAATGGATGTTTGAGCTAAGCTCCTTTTGTTATGAGAGTAGTAGTTATTTTAGTAAGAGAATTTAGCATAAGTTCACTGTTTACACACCATGCCTCAGGTTAACTGTTACCTTGGATCCAATGTTGGTTGTTACATGTGTGTCCATGTAAGATGCATGTCCTCATGAATGAGGATGTCTGACAACACCAGTCCACATAAATGATGCTCTAGGATGAAGGAGTGCAACACCCGTGGGGCCCCAAGGAAGTTTCAGTAAGATTCTACAAATGCACAGTGCCATAAATATATCACCCTGAAGACAATTTTTCACAAATCGAGTGCCACTGCTGAGAAATTCTTGTGAGCTACCTGCCTACATAATGGTGAGAAACCCTAGAGTGGAGTCATGTGCAGACCTCAATGGGCAGGCAGGCTAATGTCAGAGAAGCTGGTCTCCCAGGCACAACCTGAGTGTGCATGTGTGTGTGTGAATGGCAAGCCTGTGGAGAACCATATGCCAGTAGTAAAGTAGATACACCTACTGTGGTTTGTGGCGCTGACACTATTACCTGAAACCTCTTCAGCCCATGGAACTCCTTCCACTCTACTTCAATCATAACACTTCAATGGTAAAAGATCTGTACTGCCTTCTACATCATTTCCAGGCAAAATTCATACTCCTAGTGATAACCCATAAAGCTTTAAGCTGTCTACATACATGTGCACATACGCACACATGCACACACACACATCTCATGTTCATACACATGTATACACACTTGGTTTTGTCTTTCTACCCTTGTTTCTTGTCTGTGTAGGCAGGTGATATGAAGGGTTGGTGAAGCCCACTGAGGCAGTGCCTTAAGGAATATTCCTTGAAGCATCAGCTCTCTTTCCTCTTCAATCTCCATTCTCTGATGGGTTCGAAACTTTAGATAGTGGAAAGATTCTCAGTGGAGGACTTTGCAGGCTGAATGGGAAGATCCCATTTCCCAGTGGGGAGCTTCCTCATCCCTGAAGTGCAATTCCTGGTAACAATCTGTTCATTACTTGCTTCATCTCAGATAGTGGTGCAGAAGAAGGTCTCTGAAGAGGGACCATAAGAATGATTAAGGTGTTGTTCCTTCAGTTATCTGGGCTCAAAGTTACATAGAGATTTAAAGGTAAACACCAGAATTTTGAATTGTACCCAGAAACTGACTGATAGCCAGTACAGTTCATTAAGCAACCTGTGTTTCTCATGAAAAATGTTTCCTTTGTATGCTCATGGTATTCTAGTTCCATTCAAAATAGGCACTCCTAGACTCAGATGGCAGATTCTGGTGATTTGTGAAGCTTATCTCTAATACAAACTCAATTTAGTCTTATTGAGGTGCACTTTCTGATGTGTGAAAGTGTTTATGAACTTCAGTATGCCCCATGCTCTAAGGGGTCCCCACTGGAGATTAGGGGGTAGTTGGGTTTAGAATTACCCCCAGCAACTTGATGAAATCTCTTACTAGACCTGTTACCTCTCCTTAGTTGTGACCCCAAAACTGTCTTTCTGGGGCATCATCTGAAACCAACCAGAGAGCAATATATTCATGGAAAGACAATGCTTCCAATTCCCTTCCTCCAACATCTTGATCAGAAGGACACTGCAGCCTTATCCATTAAGTGAAACTATTCTATATCCAGGCCAAGATTTGTAAATAAACATGTTTATTTATTTACAAATAGAAATAGTAAGCAAATGTAATAGAAAACAAATATGAAATAAGAATTAAGTAGAAATAGAAAACACATATAATCAAACAAGTTCAATATAATTAAATGAGTTTGACCAATTCTTAAGAACTGAGAAGTTTAATAACATCTTTTTTAAACTGCTTTTTTAAATATATGCTGTTCTTGTTTCAACCTTATTAAAGAATAAAATAAAGATGGAATGCAATCTCCCAGCTTTTGCTCCATTCTATCTGGGTTCTGCTACCATGGCTCCAGGCCATTCTTGCACACTTTCTTGAAACAGAGCCTTGTAATTACCTTGATGCTTACAACTGCTACTTCTCTTCTTCTTGTCCATCACTCCTCTGCCTATACACTGCCACTTACATTAGAGATCACGGAGGCCATACTCACAAAGTGAAAGAAAGGCTGTTCACACAGAATCCAGCATCTGCTCATATCACTAAGGAAGAGACTATGCTACCTGTCACCTGTTCTGGCCTGCTTCACTGTGTGAGAGGGCGAAGCAGTGCCCACACAACTGCTGGTGCTGCTTTGTGCTTTAATGAGGAAGATGGACCAATGTGCCTCCCATTATGATGTCACCTATCTGAGGACTGGCCATTGTGACCTCTGGATGACGCTGTCTCCCTGGAGATCTGAGACAGGCCATTATGATTTGAGGCTGATACTACCTATCATACAATTCCCTTCTTTGTTGACATGTTTAGACCTGCTGGGATTCTTCTAGGGTATAATTGCCAGAAGGAGAGGCTATCGGCTATACTCAGTGCCTGATTTTTACATGAGTGTCAGGGTCCATAGAAAAAGGGCATCTCTGACTGTCATCAGCACATGAAGTGATTGTCCCTGAGCTAAATTAGTGGCAACTGCTGGCACTTTCTAGATGTGGGACAGGAAAAGCTGGCTGTAAAGTGACAAGCACCTGAAGAACCACAATGGCAAAGAACAGCTCACTCATGTAATCATCTAGCTGCCTTGAGTGCCTAAGAAGCCACATTTCCCCCATTAGCTCACCTATGGAGCAGCCAAGCCTGCACTGAGTGGAAAAGTTCACTTTCCTTCTTTGCACTGGATGGCACCACAGGAAATTCACCAACATGTGGGGATAGTCCACTTACTTCTGCATTTCAGATGGATATGGGTTAGCTTCATTGTTTCAGATGATGATAATGGAGAACATTTTATGAAGTTCCTGATACCTCTGCTTGCCCAAAAATGCATTTGTGTTCCTTTCTCAGAAAGGGCCATGGCAATGAACTATGGTTCCAATCTCCATTTTAACAAGGTTCAGAAGTTAAAATCAGTACTTCTGTCAGTAGATGCCAATGTGAATATTATCAACGGAACCTCTCAGTCTCTAGATATGCTGACTTTGGTCTTAGAATTTAATGAATCTACCCAAAAAAAGTCATATAGAGAAAATTTGGATCATGCCACCTCAGTGGGATTTCACTGATACAGTGAACAAAAAAGTCTCCACTGATACATTTTCTCCCTGTGTTCTGGTAAGTTGCATTTCATTGTTGTCTTCCTGATGAAATCCATCAGATCTGTTGGATTTGCATAACATGTACAGTTGAGGAGAATCTGGAAAATGTGCATGGGCATGTACTTGAGATGGAACTCACAGGGGAGAGCTGCACTATCTACAATGCTGTCTATGCTGTAACACATACATTACATACCGTACATGTGGCAAGACAAAGAGCAACAAAGGACAGAACCAAATTCATTCATTGGAATGTGGAGTCATGGCAGGTAAAGGCATCACTGTAATCTGTTTTTTCATTAATTGTGTGGGGTAGCAGCCACCAGGAACTAAAGGCAGGGCAGGGCAGGGCAATCCTATATGTTGCAGGGGCATTTTCATCATGACTATAACATGTGGGAATTCCTTCCTTCTCCAACTGTGATCACAATGACCCCCAGCTAGATCCATAGTTAGCCTTAAGAGAAACATGGTGGGAAGTCCAGGCTAACTCCAACCCCATCTGCACAAGATACTTATTGTGTCCTCATGATTATTCAGTGTAGCTTGTGAGTGCTTTTTATGATCTTGTCATTTTTCAGGACTTTTCCATGCTTTTTAACAGCTCCAGTATACTGCAGGTACAGTGTACTTCCTTGTGGTTTTCTAATGGAATGTACAGGGAGGCAGAGAAATAAAACCCCCAGAAAACACATAAACATAACACAAACCTCTCCCTAATGGTGAAGTCCCATTGAAAAATCCATCCCCATTTTAGCCAACTATGGATTAAAAAGAAAAGAAAAGCAACATAGCTGCTAGTCATGCACTTAAGAATAATCCATATTTTGATCCTTAGCATGTATGAAATAAGGTTTGATAACTGATACTGTATGGACATCTGAAAACCCACTTGAGAATCCTTTAAAAACTAAGTAAACAAATCATCCACAATTCAGCAATACAAACATGTTGCATGGTGGTAATCTGAGAGGAAGATGCCATATAACCACCAATCTTTCAGTAAAGTAAGTTTGAGAAGATTTCATGTTGCTGTTAAAGTCCTCAGTTTTTATGTGTGGGTTTCTCCAATAGCAGACAAATTGGTGTCATATCATCCCTTGTTAGATAACAAGAAGTCTGGTTCATGCTAAAGACAATTTAGCCATATGATTCTTCATTCTGTTAGCCACCTCGTTATCATGCCAAACTGAACTTTCTGATTGGAAAATGCAGCATGGAGAAGGGGAAAATTAATGATAATTTGCTCTCAACTTTAATTGTGATGTGGTAAGTTGGAGAGGCTACTGTCTGTAGGAGAGATGACTGGAGAATAATAGCACAACATGACACACACACATTTCCTGATTACCTGTGAGTTAGTTAAGCAGAAGAACCCTGAATCCTATGCACTATAACTTCTCTGAAATGTTCTTTTCCTTTGAAAATCTATTTTTCAGTGGTTTCTCTAGTAAAAAAAGGAGATATATTTCTGGCACAGCATTAACTTGGCTATATTTTCCTCTAAATCTAAATAGTATTGGTCTTTTATATCTTGCATGTGCAGCCGGGATTGATTAGCATGCAAACACACTTTTATTGAACTTCATAAGATCCAGCAGCGAACTACATAAAAATGGAGGGTGTTGGTGTTCCATTACAAATTGAGACACACTTTGTCAAGTCTCATTCATTACCATGGTGTCAACAATATTGCCTTTGCTTTTGGTCAAGGGTGAGGGCAGCTAGATTATGAAATTAATGATACCTGCTCAGAGAACTTTGGCTATGGGCGATATAGAAATGTAATGTAATAAGGTAATGTAACGTAATGTAACAATAATACTAGGTTTGAACATACATGAGTTAACTTGAAATGATGATATATTTGAGGTGGGCTATACCTGCTTAAATTTGCTCAAAAGAATTCAAGCTGGGGTGTTCACCAGTGCAAAGACTCATGACTGACCCTCCAATCAGATTTCCAGTAAGGCTAAGGAGGGAAACATATTCTTTTAGTTTTTCCTTCTCATTAGGTGCTCCCTGCTGTTCAGTGCAGGCCTGAGAACAATAATGTAGCATTTAGGTCCAAAGATGCAACCCAGCAGCCCAGCACTGGAAGACAAGATGGAGAAGATCTCCACAGCCACCACATATTTCCCTTTGGTGCTCAGGTAGGATGGGACAAAGGTGAACCAAACACTGCAAAACACCAACATGCTGAAGGTGATAAATTTGGCCTCATTGAAACTGTCAGGCAACTTCCTGGCTAAGAAAGCCACAATGAAACTGACAATTGCCAAGACACCTAAATAGCCCAAAACAGAGTAAAACATGTGAGCAGAGCCCTCATTGCATTCTAGAATGATTTTCCCATCCAGTGAGTGCATGTCCACATCTGGGAAAGGAGGAGATGTGATTACCCAAAGTGAGCAAAAGCCTGTTTGAATCAAGGAGCCGGAAAGGGCAATTGATATGGCAAGTCCTTTCCCCATCCTTTTCCGCATCCTGGACCCTGGTGTGGTTGCCATGAATGCCAGAAGCACAGTGATGGTTTTGGCCAAGATGCTGGAAAGGGCCACAGAGAAGACAATGCCAAACACCATTTGTCGGAGAAGGCAGGTCACCTTTGCAGGTTGCCCAATGAAGAGCAAGGGGCAGAGGAAGCAAAGAAGGAGGGAAATGAGGAGGATGTAGGTGATACTCCTGTTGTTGGCTTTAACTATTGGGGTGTCCTTGTGCTTCAGAAAGAGTCCAAACACTAGAGCTGTGATGAAGGAGAAGTAAACAGTCAAGATTGTCAAATGTATTCCGAGGGTTTCTTCATAAGAAAGGAAACTGGGAATTCTGGGAATGCATTGAGTTTGTTCCTTGTTGGAATACAACTGTTCCAGACATCTGATGCAGGTCGCCATGTCTGAAAGAAAGGAAAGGCTGATTGGATCTTGCCAATTATGATGGACATATAAAATACATCATGATAAAAGGTAATGCTACTATGTACCCTTTAATAAAGAACATAATGGAGCCTGTACAAACATTATTGATGATTTATGTTTTCATGCAACTGTAATGTATCCATAGCAGATCATAGTGATCAGAAAATTGATTGGTTTATACAACTATAGTTCTCTTTTTAATGAGCTCCAACAAAGCTTGATTGAAAGAACCACAGAAAGTTTGCTTTTTGGGGAATTTCCTAGCTTATTTAATTCTTAAATGTGTGTAACACTTCTTGGAATTCTTACTTGTCTTTCACATTCCTTTCTTTTCTTGTACTTCATATCTTCAAAGGAAACAATAAATATCATATTTTAAAAACAAAACAACAAAAATGCAAAAAGGCATACTTTCATGTCTTTCTGTCCCCAGAGTGTTTTTGGGTCCTTTATGTAGTTACCAAAGTTTCTGGTTGTCTGTTCTTGTTTTGTTTTTGGGCTTTGCCTTGAGTTCAGTTACGGAGAAAAAGCAGGATACAATATGCATTAAAAAGTCATATTGAAAGCATTTGGCTCAAAGGTGTACCAAGATTCCATTGGTTTGCTGTGCTCCTCTCTTGGGTGCTTTGGTGGCATATTCAGAACATTCATGTGGTTGAAAATGTGGTGAAGGACTTTCAACAAGGGAAGATTCTGGAAGGATGTACCCCTCCTATTGGTGATACTTCCCTGAGCCCAACTCCAATCTCTGGCAGATGCACTCTAGAACCATAAATCATTCAGGGCTCAATGCTATGGGCATTTAGGCAGCAAAAAGGCCTTCAGTTGTCAGCATGCCTTAGACAGCATCCCTGGCTATATGGGTACTGCGCATCGCAGACTTGCACTATGCCCTGGAGGACTTTCTACTCACTAAAGAATACTAGTGTAAATAGTGTTCTTGGACTTCTCATTCCACAATTCTAATCTCCTAAGCACATTAGTATGTTCAGGTGTTTCCTCTATCTGTACAAAACCTCCAAATCAAGGAAATGAGACTCCATGCACTCAGCCATAGTGAAATCAGTCCTTGGGCAGGCAGTGGAACTCTCAGTCAAAGGAAGCCAACATGCCCTCCTGTCATTCCTTTTTAGTCTTACAGGTGTTAGACCTGATGTTGTTTAGGCATCTTACTCTTTATTTTCTGCCTAAATATATAACTGTTTAGTCATTAGATTCTCTTAATTTCTGAGTTGTGGAGTATTTTCATGTGCACTGAAGTGCACACATTAGCTAAATAAACAGTAATGACTGAGATCCAGTAGGTGGCTCTCTGCGTACATCATGTCTCCTACCCTTCCTGTTGGAGATCATTCCTTTTGGACATGCAGCACAGTCATAGCAGCAAAATGGCTCCCTCTCCCTCTTTTTCCTGCTGTATCCTGGATAGCAGTTATCGTTGCACACAGAAAGTGGCAGAGCCTGCACAGAAGCAGAGAGAAGGAGAAGTAAATGGTTGAGTCTTGGGAATGGGTTGACACAACATGAAAACGGGTGGCTTGTTAGCAATTTTTTGTTTCAAAGAGGCTTGTCATGTTATCTGAACCCAGCAGCAAAATTTGTTCATACGGCTGAAGCCACTCTGGCCGGCTTTCATCTCACTGACAGCCAGTCTGAAACAAATATGCCTGACAGTCATTATAGTGTTGCACTTTGTAGAAACCTAGTCACTGTCATAGATCAAATGGTGGCTTGTTAGCTATGATTGATTGAATTCTGACATTACAGATGCCCAGAGATAAAAATGACCACTTTTCCAAGCTGATGACGGTGAATAAAGTGAAGTGAAATCCTTCTATTCTGCATGAAATTGGTCAATGAAATCATAAGTATTGTGAACTGTTAGCAGTTCTGAAAGTGATACCATGAGAACAGAAATATGGGGCTGAGGTGTAAGGTTCTACTAAGCAGAAAAAATGAAATTACTCTCCAATTCAAGACAGTTGTCTTACCAGTTCCTGGAGTCAAGAGTTTGCCTTCTGAAGAGCACACCGCCCCCTACAAGTCTGTTCTCAAAGAAGTTTAAGGGTGCAATCTCATGTTCTCTTGACAAAAACACCAAAGCAAAAACCACATTGGCTGCCCACTAAAGGGTCTTAGAAGGGAAAAGAGTGGAATGCCAGGGCTGTAGGCACATCATCCCTTCCCTCTCAGATGCCCAAACTCTGTGGGATACACAATGGCCAGATTTTTCATAAAAGGTAGGTTATGATGCATATCAGGTGTATGTCTTGCTACCTTCATAACTCACACCTTGTACCAGATGCTCTTAAACATTCACATTTGTGTGCTTCTGAGCATCCACCACAAGAGAGATAGGGTGCAGTCTCCATTAATGAATCATATCACCACTTATATTGTAACACTTGGTTACCAAACCAATAGGTATGTTTAAATATTTAAGCATTTGCAGCTGTGACTCACCTGATTAAAGCTTGTATGCCACCTGATTTGGTCATCATCAATGGTTAACTCTTGGTCTGCTGGAGCCTGGGGGTTCAGGCTTCCGACTCTCACTCTAGCCATGGAGCCATTGGGGAACATCAGCCAGTTAGTAACATCAAACTCTGCAACCAGCTCTCCATTTTCATTAAAATGCACAGTGTCTCCAGCAGTGTTATTGAATGAGATGGTGCTTAGAAAGTGATGGAGCTGGATTGGAAAAGATTATGAGGAAAGCGGAAGTATGATCTTGAAACTGCAGCAATGAGCTTCCCTTGGTCTTATTTCAACCTACATCGCAATCATTCTCCCTCCCTGACATGTGATGAGTTCCTGTTTATACTTTGCATGTTGCTCCAATTATCTCCATTTGAATCCAATTGAATATAATATCTTAAATAAATTGGAGTTGTATACTAGTTTTCATTCACATTTAGACATGTATAGACTAAGGTCATGGAAATCTCTGGTCCCAGTTGTATCTGTAGGCCAGCTCAAAGCATTACTTTACTTTAAGCATTTAAATTTAAGCATAACCAGTCAGACTGGTCCTACTACCCAGTGCTGTTCCCCAAAAGGAATCATTTTTCCAAAACTATATATTTTGTAGAATTGCAATTCATCACATGTTATAATACTAACATCTTGCCAAGAGTTTTGAGGTGCAACTACCTGCCATGATTGCACATTCTGTATAGCCAGTTTTTCTTTTCCTACCCATTTTCTGTGTATGAACCTGGATTCATATAAAGCGTTCAAAGCATGCGCCACAGCATAGACAGCGTTGTAGACATTATAACTGTGTCCAACCATACTCATTTCAAACAAAATACCAGGAAGAGCCTCGAGCTTCTCATCCCCTAAGCAGGTCACTTTGCCATCTTGTATCATGTCAGCCAGGCTTAGCAAACAGTTGAATGCATGTTCCCAGAAGTCTTGGATGAAACCATCTCCTTTGGCCCAAGAAGGTCTAACCATCTGCACAAACTTGTGGAATCCTAAGGGCTGGTTTGAGTGAACACTGAATGATAAGTAGCCATGGAAAGTTTGTATATCCCAATTTCTTTGAAGAGGCACTGATGCAAAATCCCAGTGGGAAGTAGTAATCCAAACTTTACCCAGTGGTGGAAATTCAAAGAAGGGTGCTATAAAGAACAACATTCTCAGTACTTGAAATGATGGTGGCTCCCCATATACAAAGAAAACATTGGCTTTGCAGTCAAATAAAATTTCAAAGTTACTGCGATCTTTCATACCCAAGGCTATCATCTCTTCTATATAAGACCATTTGGGGATCCTTACTATAAATTCATAGCAGATTCCATGCTGGGAAAGCATTGGCACCATGGTCTGTAAGAACCTGTTTCCTCTGTCATCATCCACAGCAACAAGCCCAATCCACGTCCATCCAAAATGCTGAAGCAGTCTCACAACTCCCAGGTATTGATGTGCTTCATTTGGAACCATCTGGTACAAAAAGGGCATTTGTGTTTTAGCCCCTTCTGGTGGCAAAAATGATCCATAGGTGAGCTGAAATTAAATATGTTTGGAGAGATTGGAGAGAATCTTACATCATGGAAAAAGAGAATAGCAGGTGTTCCTGTTGGTCATATGGACAAGGAAAATCATGTCATGCAGGAAACTCAAAGCTAAATATTCCATATCAGGTTGTTGAGTAGCTTTTGTGTTAAAATTCACCAGTAGAAAAGAGCATCCCCCAGGGTCATTAATTTCCATTGCTTGACTGTATTTACTATTAAGATTCTTTTTATGAATGTTAGGTTAAAATCTAGACATGGCTTCTACACGGGAGGATAGGTCTTTGCCCTCTTTTCTGTGATGACAATTCAGGTTCATGATAAGTTCTATGATCTCCCATTTCACTCTCCCTTTCCTCAGGCCAAAGTTGTGCAATGTCCTTAAATTTGCATTGGAAGCCTTGCATCCCAAACACCTTTCCGCTCCTCTGAATCTCCCTCTATGGAAAGTCAGAACCCTCAACTGGATCCAGGAGAAGCCTGTTCTGATTAGTGTGAAATGAAATGGAACTCTAAGTTTTCATAGCGTGGAGACTATGTTCCGATTTATGTAATTAAAATGGCAATGCATCCACCACAATCCTGTGCATTCTAATAGGAGGAATGCTTTAGAAGTAACTGTGAATTCATCAGTGAGAATTCTTAGGAGAATGTGTATTAAAAGCATCATAGTAGTGGTGTCCCTGCTGAGGCCTATCTATACACTGAATTTCCCAAGTCTTCTGTAATGATAATAGGGAAGCATTCAAATTTATACAAAATTAGTATTTGCCCCATATTCTAGAAATGTTCATGTTCCATAAAATGATTTCATTTTGAAAATCCTAAAAATGGCATGACAATTTTGTCCAATTTTCCATGGTTAAGGAATGAAAAGTGGAACCAAACATGTCACATTCCTTCCTGTGTTGAAAGCAATTTTCTCAAAACATATGTCACAATTTTAATGTTATGATTTGTCAACAGATGGATTTGCTCTCCACTCAGACAGTTCTTGTTATGGAAACCTATTATTACTCAACCTTCTACTTCATGCAGCTCTTGAGGTATGCATTCTAGTTTAATGCCAGTCAGTGGATTAAAGATGAGCTTGAATGCATTCAGTAGCTCTCCGCACTCTCTCTCCCCCATCACAACTCATCTTCAATGTTGATGGGATAAATTCTCATGTACCTCTTTCCAAGGCATGTGAGATGGTGTCTTTTGTTAAGGCCCTTTAAAAACCTGCACATTGAAAAATCCCACGGTAAGGAAGTGGCATCTTTGGGCAAAGTTCCAAAAGCAAGGGGATGGGGAACTAAGCAGAATGTCATGAATGACACGTCCTATAATCAGTGATGCTGATGTGCAATGCAGTGAGAAGTCCTGGAACTAATGAAGTGGGGTGCATGTAAACCTTATTCTCTAATCACATAGAACCTGAAGATACTGTGGATAAAGAAGGGAAATGTCAGTATATGGCCTTTTGGGCAGAAGAAACAAACCTGGTTTTCCAGAGAGTGCCAAAAAAACAAACAAACAAACAAAAAACCATCTTGTTAGTTTTGGATACATTGTACATGTTCAGTGACACCCCAGTAAAACCTCATTAAACTTTGATGAGGAGTCAAAATCAGACTTTGGTTTTTCAAAATGTGGTGAATATACCTGATTACATAGTCGCTTTTTCTGCATCTAAGCAGCTGGCTGACTGATCATGGAACGTGTCAGAAACTTGGCTGAAAGGAGGAAGATTCTGTGTCACACCTATGAAAACGCCAGGCATACTTACACCTTGCTTACCTGCAGTGTCTTATGAGTAGCTGAAAGAATAGCTATATTGGCAGAGATTTCAGAGAGGCATCCTCCAATGAGAGCAATCACATTATTCTGGTTGTGACACTTGAAGTTGGGAACAAACCTGTGCTGTGTGGAAAGCAGGTTCAGGATGGCCTTGAAGGTCATCCTTGGTGTGTAGTAACTATTGAGGATGTGGAAGCCCAGGGAGATATTGGGTAAGATCCGAGGATCCTCATTGATCTCCTTCACAGCAAATGCCAAGGCCAGGACATGTTGGTAGTTCTTTGGTACAGAACTGGAAGAAGAATGATAGGCTGTTTGATTGAGAGCAACATCATCATCATCATCATTGCATGTTTGTTTTTGAGATTGAGCAATAGATCAAAACATCAGATTGGTCTACAAATGGCAATAAGAAAGGGAGGTAAAACAACATAAATACATCAAAATGGTTATTTTTTCCATTGAGAAACTAGAAGCTTTGAATATTTTGGGAACTTTCAAGTGCTTAACACAATAGAGCATGCATTCATCACAGTGAAATGCTTTGCATACATATGGGAATAACTCAAACAACAAAATCTTGTAAAGAGCCCATATGTGTCTTCTTTTTAAAAGTAATCTCCCCTTAGACTCATCACTGAGAATCTTTTCCTAAGGATAAAATATGCAAAGTCATGATACCAGTGCACAATGCTATTAGCAAATCATTCATATGACTTGATATCAAAGGCATAGGAATGCAACTGGGTGCATGCTCCTGAAGTAAATGAAATTTGAGAGAAAGTGCTAATAAAAAAATTAAATACTCTTTTTTTTTCAACATCTGTTATATTTACTGAAGCCCCAGAAATGTTTTTCCCAAGCAAACGTGTATTAAGAAGTAATTAAATTGTGCAGGGTGGATCATGGTGCATTTTCACAGTGAACTGCAAATATTATGGGAAGGAAGAGAAGAAAGAATGCCTTACATTGGTTCACCGAGCCGTGTTTGTGCAGGCTGTTCCACAAAAGAAAGGATATTATGGAGGAAGAAGACCTGAGAAACAATCCCACCAATTACAGCATCACCTGGCTGGTAGAATTTATGAGGAATAGGGAGAGGATCATCGGTTGTGGTGCAATTGATAGAATGTGCATGATGTGGAAGAAGCAGTGAAAGAAGCTGCATCACCTTGAGCAACCTGCTGAGAAAGCCTCTCCCCCAAAAGTCAAAGTTCATGTTTCCCTCCATCAAAAGCTTTTCCTATATTTTCATTATCAGATTGCCCTGCTCTTCCATTCAGTATTGAATACTTGCATTACCAACAGATTTACTCCTGGTGTGCTGGGAAATCTGTGCACCAATGCAGTGATTTTTGCAGCTAAATATAACTTTTTCTTCATCAGTGTAGAATGATATACTCAGGCTCTTTCCAGATGCTGACTTGTCTATGAGCTGGGGCAATGCATTGAGCCACAGAATGGAAAACAGTAATTTAGACAATGTTATAGGAGGTTATAATTTCCCCAGTGTGTTGTTAGCTACTTGCTAGTTGCATTATGTGTGAGAAACTGCAAGGGGTGTTTTTAAAAGTCATATATTAATCACATCCTTTTTGAGAGGTATTATTTGGGTTTTATTTGAGGGATATTCATAGGCTTTTTCTTAACATATCAAGCCCTGAATGGGTTGGGGCTAGGAAAGCATCTTCCCAAATATGCTCTGAGGTTATCTTCTGTGGTCCTTCTCAGAGAGCCACCCCTAAAGGAAATGAAGAGGGGTGATACCAGGGGAAGGAACCTCTGAGCTGTGGCACTCCATCTATGGAATCAGCTCTCCAAGAAGGTATACCTGCACACACTCATTGCTCCTTTTCGTACCAGATAAAACTTTTTATTCACTCATCTTTTTAAAAAATTGTCTTTATAGTGTATTTTGTTTCTATTCCATTTTTATTGTGCCTTATTGCTGCTCTACTCTTGCATTAATAAGAGCATTGCATTTGTGGGCCTACGGTTTTCATTTATCTTGCAAAATTTACCCCTGAGCAAAGGAAATACTGAATGATACTATTACTATTCCAGAACTATCACAAGCTATTAGGAATTTTAAAAAAAGATAAAGCACCTGGTCCAAAAGAATTCATTGCTATAGATTATAAATGTTTAGAGAAAAATTCATGTCGCCACTCCAACAAGTAATGAATGAAATTAAAGAAGAGAAACTAATACCACCAACATAGCAGGAAGCCCATAGTACACTGATATATACAGACCATGATCCTACTTTGCCACATTCTTACCAACCTATTTCATTACAAATGTGAATTACAAACTTTTTACTTCAATAATGGCAGACAGATGGAGAAAAAGTATAGAAAAACTGATTCATAAATATCAGATTGGATTTCTTCCCAAAAGATTTAGGAGAGATAATATTCATTTTGTGCTTGATGCAATTGAATTGGGGAAGAAGAAGAGGAGGAGGAAGAAGGAGGAGGAAGAAGGAGAAGGAGGAGGCGGCGGTGATAGCATTTACTTTTCTAGATGCAGAGAAAAGCTTTTGGGAATATGTCTTGGCCCTTCTACACTTAGGCCATAGTTCAAGCTTTATGAATAGGGTTCAAGCAATTTACACTAAACACCATGGTAAAATATTAATTAATGGAGTATTAAGTGACAGTTTTCAAATGGAGAAAAGAGCACGTCAAGGATGTCTTTTATCACCCCAATATTTATTCTTGTATTGGAAATTCAAGCAAGAAATGTAGGACAATTTGGATGCAGAACCTCAGAAAAGACCATCCCATCCATGGGAAGCTATATGGAAGAAAGACATTAAATTTACAGTTAGTCAAGCATTAAGAGAAAATTGGAATTGGATGTTTTTTCAGTGGAATATCACCCCAAAAGATGTAGTAAAAATAGACAAGAACTACAATGAAGAATGTTGGAAATGTGGATGGGCTTTCAACCCTATGTGGTAGACCTATGAAATAACAAAAAGATTTTGGAAGTTGATACATGTGAAATTACAGAAAAAACCTTTGAAACCGATTAACCCATGAGTCCTAAGAATATGCTTTTGAACATAATGCCAGAGAGTATTTTGTAGAACATGTCAGTTATTCAACTATATGACAACTGCAGCAAGAATTACAATTGCTTCTTAATGGAAAAAGCCAGAATGTCCAACAATTGAAGATTGGAAAAATAAGTTGGCAGAGCATGCAATGATGGCAACATTAATTAATTATGTAGTCAAATAACCGACTGAAGTATTTAATGATAAATGGAAATTCTATTATATCCAGTAAAATTAATATGATGTAAAAAGAAGCTCATCAAATTTTGTTCATGATTTAAAATTGATTTGAAGTGAATGGAAAATTTGTATTGTACTATTATAGTCCTTCTGTGTTTGAGCTTCAGCGGAGTATTGCTGGAGAAAAAGATAGAATTTTTGGTCTCTTTGGAAATTTGCAGGTTATGAATGTATTGGTTATATTGGTTTAAAATCCCTTGGCACTTTCATTTCATTTCTTTTCTTATACCCGTTTTCTTTCTGTAACTTATTCATTTTAAGGAAACTATAAAAATAACATTTTTTTTAAAGTTTTGCCTTTGTTCTCTTCTCAACCATTCACTTCTAGAATGTAGAATGCAAAATGTAGATTTATTGTTACAAATATTTTAAACCGGGGTGTCCAATCCGTGCCCCACGGGCCACATGTGGCCCAGGATGGTTATGAATGCAGCCCAACACAACATCTCAAACTTACTTAAAACATTATGAGATATTTTTGCAATTGTTTTTGTAACTCAGTTGCACTGTTCTCAAGTATGAGCTTTGTAGATGACATCATGTCACAATGTCATGTAAAATAAACATGTGTGCTATCATTATTTGTACACATGCTTAAGTTTTATGACATTATGACAGCTTCCAGTGTGTTATCTTCTAAGCACAGACAATCGAATTGACACCTTCAGACATTACATGTGCTCATGGAGACCTGGCAAGAGAAATGCAGCTATTATAAATAATATTTCAACCTACCCTTGCAAACAATTTTATACATTTTGACATGATAGCTAAACCAAGTCCTATGAACAGTGAAAAACATGCAGCCTTGCTTTTCAATTTGATACCAGAATTTGAAAGAAGATTTCAAGATTTTCAGGAAAATAATCACTATTTTGGTATATTTGCAACTCCATTTTCAGTTGACATAAATATGTTACCTGCTAATTTTAAAATGGAATACATAGAGATGCAATCTGATATCATGAACTTTTATAGATACTATCTCCCCCAAGACGAATAATCCTCACTTCACAATCATGTCTTATTCATGTCTTCACTTTTTGGCAGCACCTACATTTGTGAGCAACTATTTTCAAGAATGAAGCACACTAAGAGTAAAATTAGAACCAAATTATCTGTTGAGCTCCTTGAGAATGACTGAGAATTGCAGCTACTTCCATCAAACCAGATTTTGATGCATTCATTTCTCAGATACAGTGTCAAATATCCCACTTGTTTTATGTCACCTTATTTTCCTTTAAAATAAAAAATATCAAAACAATCAATTAAGTTTTGTTACTTAGATATGTTCATTTTCTGTATAAGTGATTACAAACTTGGGATCTGCTCAATGATTTTAAAAGACTCCCCAGATGGGGTGCTGCATTATGAGGATTATGTGAAGAACTATTTGCTTATCTGTGGTGGCAAATATCATGAAATTATGCAGACACTTTTTTTCCTCATCAGCTCTTGTTAGTGTTTGTGTATTTAATGTGTAGCCCAAGAAAATTTTTCTTCTTTCAGTGTGGCCCAGAGAAGCCAAAAGATTGGACACACCTGCTTTACTGTAATATAATTTCTGTAATATTACTGCCAGGTCCACCCATAATAAAAACTCACTGCTCCATGCTTTAATTGTGGATCTGGGAGCCAACCCACCATGTATTGATGAGACCTGAGTGGATCAGGCTGGGGGCAGGGGTGTTATCCCATCCCAGCTTTGTCCACCTTGATACTTGGTACAGCATCAGCCTCACCTTGAGGGTCAAGGACAGGGGAAGGCCATTGTTCATCATGATTTCATCTCCCATTCAAGGCTTCCTGTTGACTTGAGTGCAGGCCTGAAGTGTCTTTACCTTGCATTGGGCAATCAAGAGAGATTTCGGATCCTACTGGTGTACCATGCATCCTACTGCCCAGCAGTCTCCCTGCTTGTGCTGAGAGAGGTAGTCTCGGGATCTGGTGTTGAGAACCTCCAGGTTGTTGGTCCTAGGGGACCTCAACTTCCATGTGGGAGCTGCCTTATCCATGTTGGCTCTCTGCAGGGTTTCTTGCGCACCCCTAAAGAAATATACCATAAACCCAGTTGATGTGAACCTGACCAATTGCCGAAAGTCCCTTTTTGTGCAAGGAGATAAAGTGGGTTGTGTCCAGGCAGTTCCAAGCTCTCCTGCAGAAAGTGGATTATCTAGACCCATTTCAACTGGGCTTCATGCCTGGTTTTGGAATGGAGACTGCCTTTGTTGCCTATGGGATAATCTTTGCCAGGAGAACAATGGGGGAGTGCAACTCTGGTGATTCTTCTGGCCCTCTCAGCCTCTTTTGACCATGGTATCCTTCTGGAGAGGTTGGGTGGGTTGGGAGCTGGGAGCACAGCTTTGCAGTGCTTCCACTCCTACTTAGCAGACTACCTCTAGATGGTGGTACTGGGGAACAATTCTGTGCCATGATCTCTGCACCATGGAGTTCCACAGAGCTCTATTTTCCACCCCCCGCCCCATGTTTTTTAACATCCACAGGAAAAATCTTGGAGAGGTCATCCAGAAGTTTAGACTGAAATATAATCAGTATGCTGATGACTCAGCTCTACCTCTCATTTTCATCATCTCTAGGTGAGTCAGTGACACTTCTGAACCAGTGCCTGAGCTCTGTAAGGGGTTAATGTGGGCAATTAAGCTGAGACTTAGTTCATGGAGGTACTGCTGGTGAAGATTCCATCTGTTCAGCTGAGGAATTATCAACCTGTCCTGGATGAGGTTGTGCTCTGCCTAAAAGATAAGGTTTGCAGCCTTGGAGTACTCCTGGATTCCAAGTTGTCACTTGTTGCCCAGATGAGTTAGGTTTTCAGAAGCTCTTTTTATCAGCTTCAGCTAATTTATCGTCTGTGTTCCAACTTGGATGAGAGGAGTCTTGCAATGGTTATCTATGTGCTGGTAACCTCCTGCTTGGATTACTGTAATATGCTCTACATGGGGTTGCCTTTGAAAATGGACTTTGCAACTCACTGGTTAGCACACCTGCTGACTAGGGCCAGCATTTGTGAGCATATCACACTGGTCCTTCACAGGTTACATTGGCTGCAGGTTGCCGTCTAGGAACAATACAAAGTGCTCATGATGATATAGAAAGTATTAATTAGTTTGGAGCCAGGTTATCCCCATATGTACCAGCCCATTCACTGTGATCTTCATCTGAAGCCCTCCTCTGCATTCATCCCCCTAATGAAGGAGGGGGTCTTCCACTTCATAACACCCCAACTTTGCAATTCAATCCTGAATGAGGTCCAGTTGCACCTATTCCTTTGGCTTTTAGGTGCCAAGTTAAACGCTTATTTGTGCAGCAGTTATTTTGAATGGTTAATTTTTAGGCATAAATAATGTTATTTTATGCTGCTGAAAATGGGACATGATTTTAATGAAGGCATATTTATTTCTAATTTTCTTTGGTTTATGCTTTATTTTTGATTTGAATCTATTATTTAGAATATCTCCAATTTTTCCTATTTTTGTTTTAATATTGCAAATTTATTTGAAGATTTTATCATTATTATTATTCGGTTTTGAACTAAATGGTGAAGTGTGATTGTATTGTCTTATATTACTGAATTTTAATATATTGTAAGCCATCCAGAGACTTTACGATATCCAGCCTATCTGCCACATACTATATTTTATTCCCCTTGCAGTTCCTCACACACTAACAACACAATGGGGAAGTGATAACCTCTCATAACATTGTTTCAATTACTGTTTTCCATCCTGTTACTCAATACATTGTCCCAGCTCACAGACAAGTTAGCATCTGAAAAGACTTCAAATAGATCATTCTACACTAAAGGACAAAGAGGTATAATTAGCTGTAAAAGCATTGTACTGGTGCACAGATTTCTAAACACACCAAGCAACGTATCAGTTGGCAATGCAAGCAAGCATTCTCTACTGAATGGAGGAGCTAGCCAAAATCTCAGAACCTATAAACAGTCATTGAAGGAAAGAACCATGACTATTGACTTTTTGGTGAGATGTTTTCTCAGCAGGTTGCCTAAGGTGATATTGCTTCTCTCACTGCTTCTTCCTGGTTATGCTGTGTGCAGGAGACATTCTATCAATTGCACCACAACCGATGATCCTCTCCCTATTCCACATAAATTCTACCAGTCAGGGGATGTTCTTATTGGAGGGATTGTTTCTCAGGTCTTCTTCCTCCATAATATCCTTTCATTTGTGGAACAGCCTTCACAGACACGGCTCGGTGAACCGATGTAAGGCATTCTTTCTTCTCTTCCTCCCCGCAATATTTGCAGTTCATTATGAAAATGCACCATGATCCATCAAGTACAAATTAGTCATTTCCTGATTTATATTAGGTTGGCAAAAAGACATCTGGGGTTTTGGTAAATATAACATGTGTTGAAAAATAGGGAGATATATTTTTTCACACACCCCTCTTCATTCTCTCTCATTGTTGGTTGCTTCTCATTCACCCGTCTTCTGGATTTCTTGTTTCATATGGTGCTACTTTAGAAATATTTTCTTTTGTAAAATGGTGGACTAGTCCTTGGTACTATTCACTGCTCCGGAATTTTGGGGATATTATCTGCAAATGTAGACAAGTTTATGCAAGCTTGCAGTGTTTTCTCCCTTATACTGAAATATTTTCTCAAATTTCATCTCCTTCAGGAACAAGCACTTTAATTGCATTCCTATTTGATTTCAAGTAATATGAATGATCTGCTAATAGTACTGTTGACTGGTATCGTGCCATTGAATATTTTATTCTTTGTACAAAGATTCTTGGTGTTGAGTCTAAGGGAAGATTACTTTTAAAAAGAAAATACATATGGGCACTTGAAAGAATTTTGTTGTTTTTGTTATTGTCATTGTCATATGTATGCAAAACATTTCACTCTGATGAATGCATGCTGTATTGAGCACTTGATTGTTCCCAAAATATTTTTGGCCTTGAGTTTGTTATGGGAAAAATAGTCACTTTGAAGTGCTTACCTTCATTTACTTCCCTTTTCTTTTGTCATTTGCAGTGCTTTTGCTGGTTTTAAGCTATAGCTCACTTTCTAAAACAGAAATGAGATGGTGTATTTAGTGGTGATGCTGATAATGCTGATTTTGTCAATCAAACTGTCTGTCACTCTTCTTCCAGTTCTGTGCCCAAGAACTACCAACATGTCCTGGCCTTGGCATTTGCTGTGAAGGAGATCAATGAGGATCCACGAATCTTACCCAATATCACCCTGGGGCTTCACATCCTCAATAGTTACTACACACCAAGGATGACCTTCAAGGCCATCCTGAACCTGCTTTCCACACAGCACAGGTTTGTTCCCAACTTCAAGTGTCACAACCAGAATAATGTGATTGCTCTCATTGGAGGATGCCTCTCTGAAATCTCTGCCAGTATAGCTATCCTTTCAGCTACTCATAAGACACCACAGGTAAGCAAGGTGTAAGTATGCTTGGACAGTTCATAGGTGTGACACAGAATCTTCTTTCTTTCAGATAACTTTCTGACACATTCTGTGATCAGTCAGCAAACTGCTGAGATGGAGAAAAAGTGATGGAGAAAAATGTGATGGAGGAAAAAATGTAATCGGGTATAACAGAGGTCTCAAACTCACAGCCCGAGGGCCAATTGTCGGGATGGGTGGGGCATGGGGGAGGGGTCCTTTGGCCTTCAAAGTGCCAGTGGTGCCTGGGTCAGCCTCCAGGAGCGACACGGGATGAGCAGCCCACCACCACCGCGGTGGTGAAATACTTGATGCGGCCCAGCCTCACCCAGCCTCTACTTCCAGCAGTCCCCAGGTAAGTTGAGTTTGAGACCCCTGAGGTATAATCACCACTTTTTGGAAAACCAGAGTCTGAATCCAACTCCTCATCGAAGTAGAATGAGGCTTTAGTGGGGTGCCACGGGACTTTTCTCCCCCCCCCCCATTTTCATGCTACTGTATCAGTGACATAGATGGAAGCATGGAAAGGATTCATATAAAACTTTTGGGTGACACAAAACAAGGAGGGGTGATTAACCTTTCAAAATGCTGCACAAAAATTCAAAATGATTGTGGTAGAATGGAAATGGTCTGCCTGTTACAAATCATTAATTCCACAGAAAAAATGCATTTAGAATTTAGAGAAAAGGAAAAACAAAATCCTGAATAGGGTTGTAGGGGTGAAAAGTACGAGAAAAGTATGATCTGTTGAACCATCCAGATCTTAGTTTGGTGTTCTATTTCTTCTGGAAAAGCGAACAATAAGAAATTCGTTGGGTTTTTTTTTTAAGTTGTGATGGGCAGGAGAGAGAGTGGAGAGAGCTACTGAGAGTGTCTAATCTCATCTTTAATCCACTGACTAGCATTAAACTAAATGCATACTTGAATGCCTACTTCAAGAACTACATGGAGTGTTCAGTAAGATTAATTTTCTATTAAAAGAAGAATTAAATTTCATTACTGTCTGAATGGAGAGCACATTGGTCTCTCATGACTTTAACAGGTGACATTCTTTCTGACAAAAAAAAATTCTTTTGACATGAGGAGGAATGTGACATTTTTACTTCTGAATGACATTACATAAACCACTACAAATAGATCATACTGTCAGAAATGTCATGACATTTTTCGGGTTTTCAAAATGAAGTCATTTTATGGAACATGAACATTTCTAGAATATGGGACAAATATTAATTTTATATACATTTGAATGCCTCCCCATTATCACTACAGAAGACACAGGACATTCAATGCAGAGATGGGCCTCAGCAGAGACACCACTCCCATGTTGCCTGTAATTAACATTTTTCAAAGAATTTTCACTGCAGAATTCAGAGTTCATTCTACAGTTTTCTTCCTGTTACAGCACACAGGTTTGCACTGGATGCACTAAAATTTTAGCTGCATCAGTAAAAACAGTCACCACACTATTAAAACTAAGAGTTCCATTTTATTTCTTGCTAGTCAGACCACATGTCTTTTACTGGATCCACTTCTGGGTTGTTGTTGTAAGTTGCAAAGTCATGTCTGACCCATCACGACCCCATGGACAACATTCCTCCAGGCCTGCCTGTCTTCCACCATCCCCTGGAGTCCACTTAAGCTCACACCAACTGCTTCAGTGAGTCCATCTAGCCACTTTAATCTCTGCCGTCCCCTTCTTCTTTTGCCATCTGTTGTTCCCAGCATTAGGCTCTTCTTCAGGGAGTCCTTCCTTCTGATTAGGTGGCCAAAGCATTGGAGTTTCATCTTCACTATCTGGCCTTCTAAAGAGCAGTCAGGGTTAATTTATATTTGGACTGTAGCAGGTTCAGAGGAGGAGAAAGTGGGTATAGAAAGCAAAGCTCACAAAGCAATTTAAAAACATTGTGCATGATTAGCATGAAGAAGAGGAAATTAAAGTGGGAAATTATAAAAATGATCAAGAACCTGAATTGCCATCACAAAAAAGAGAGCAAAGTCTTGTCCAAATCTATGCAAACATATTTCACTTCAGCTCACCTATGGATCATTTTTGCTACCAGATGGGACTGAAAATGAAATGCCCTTTTTGTACCAAATGGTTCCAAATGAAGCCCAGCAATACATGGGAGTTGTGCAGATGCTTAAGCATTTTGGATGGACTTGGATTGGGCTTTCAGCTGTGGATGATGACAGAGGGAATAGGTTCTTACAGACCATAGTACCAATGCTTTCCCTGCATGGAATCTGCTATGAATTCATACTAAGGATACTAAAATGGTCTTATATAGAAGAGATGATAGCCTTGGGTATGAAAGAACGGAGAATGTTTGAAGTTGCCTTTGAGAGCAAAGCCAATGTTTTCTTTGTATATGGAGAACCACCATCCTTCCAAGTGCTGAGAATCTTGTTGTTCTTGGCACCCTTATTTGATTTGCCACCACTGGGCAAAGTTTGGATTACTACTTCCCACTGGGATTTTGCATCAGTGCCTCTTCAAAGAAATTGGGATACACAAACTTTCCATGGTTTTTTATCATTCAGTGTTCACTCAAACCAGCCATTCGGATACCGCAAGTTTGTGCAGATGGTTAGACCTTCTTGGGCCAAAGGAGATGGATTCATCCATGACTTCTGGGTGCATGCATTCAACTGTTTACTAAGCATGGCTGATGTGACGCAGGAAGACAAAAAGACCTGTTTAGGGAATGAGAAGCTGGAGACACTTCCTGGAATCTTGTTTGAAATGAACATGACTGGTCACAGTTATAATGTCTACAATGCTGCCTACGCTGTGGCACATGCTTTGAATGCAGAATATGACTCCAGTTTCAAACACAGAAAATGGGTAGAAAGAGAAAGACTGACTTTAAAGAATGTGCAACCATGGCAGGTAGTTGAACCTCAAAATTCTTTTGCAAAATGTTAGAATGTAGAACAAGAGGAATTGTAATTCTGCACAAGAAAATTTTGGATAAATGATTCCTTTTAGGGAATAACTTTCGGTAGCAGAACCAGTCTGAATGGGGTGGATCCAAACTTAGTGATGCTTATAGCTGACCTAGAGAAATCAGTAGGACTACAGATTTCCATGAGTTTTTTTCTATACAAGTGTAAATGTGGATGGAAGCCAGTATACAACTTCAATCTGTTCAAAATATTATGTTCAACTTAAGATTCAAATGGCAGTAATTGGAGCAACATGCCAACTAGAAATATGAAGTCACCACAATGTGCCAGGGAGGGAGAATGATTGAGATGTCAGTTGAAACAAGCCAGAAGGAAGCACATTGCTGTAGCTTCAAGTTCATGCTCTCCCTTTCTTCATATTCTTTCCTAATCCAGCTCCACCACTTTCTAAGAAGCATCTCATTCAATAACACTGCTGGAGAAACTGTGCATTTTAATGAAAATGGAGAGTTGGTTGCAGAGTTTGATGTTACCAACTGGCTGATGTTCACCAATGGATCAGTGGTTAGATTAAAAGTTGGAAACCTGGACCCCCAGGCTCCTGCAGGACAAGAGTTAACCATTCATAATGACCAAATCAGGTGGCATGCAAGCTTTAATCAGGTGAGTCACAGCTGCAAATGCTCAAATATTTAGATGTTCCTCTTCATTCATGGGGCATTTACAAGCAATTTGGCCACTGTGTGTTATGATAGTTGTGGTCCAGTAACACATAGTGTGACCCTGTCACTCATGTGAAAGATACTCGGAAGCTAACAACACAGGCACATACTTTTCCTTTTTCTCTCTTCTTCTGTTCAGGCTCTGCCACTTTCTGTGTGCAATGACAACTGCTATCCAGGATACAGCAGGAAAAAGAGGGAGAGGGAGCCATTTTGCTGCTATGACTGTGCTGCATGTCCAAAAGGATTGATCTCCAAAAGGAAGGGTAGGAGGCATCATGTACACAGAGAGACATCTACTGGATCTTATTCATCACTGTTTATTTTGTGAATGTGAACAACTTCAGTGAACAAGAAAATATTCCCCAACACAGAATTTTAAATAATCTATTGACTAATCTGTTCTGTTATTGGACAGACTAAATAAAAATATGATGCCCAAAGTTCATCCACTACATGTTAGCTCTAACATCTGTCAGAATAAATAGTGGTGATGGGAGGGCTTGGCTTGGCTGGCTTCCTTTGGCAGGGAGTTCCACTGCCTGATCAAGGATTGATATCTCTATTATTGAGTGTGTTGAGTGTCAGCTCCTTAAGAGAGAGGCTTCATACAAATGTAACAAACAGATAATCATTGTAAGGCACTATGCACTTTACAACTTGGCAACTGGTAGCCCAGGAAGAGATTCTACACTAGAATTCATTAGTGGGCCAAAAGGTCCTCTTGGGCACAATACAAGCATTTGTGTGTGAAAGAAGTCAACCATGCACAGCACAGGACCATATTGGCAGCTTCAGTAGGATGGATGTGTGATGTGTGAGAAGCATGCGTCCTTGGTTTTAAGAGCTTCCCAAATACAATTGACAAATAAACAGCTTATTATTTAAAATACTGCCACCACCCAAAAATAAAAAATAGAATATAGCACATAATGTGCAAAGTGCTGTAGAGCAATTTCACTTGATAAAAAGGTTTGTCTTACAGCTACTCCCGCACTACAAATGAGGCCTAATGCAAAGAAAAGATAATTTTTACTAAAGGATACCATCTGAGTACATAGATAGAGGTGTGAGTTAGGACTCTCTTGTCTCCTATGCTACTGTGAAAAACTACAAAATGTAAATTAAGGTCAATTCATACATGGCAGGGGAGACAGAGGAACACTGAAACATGAAGAAGTTTTACTGTTTCTTTCAGTAGAGGTTTGCTAGTATTTTCAAATGCTAGATCAGCCTTTCCTTTTTTCAGACATGGATGCCTGTGTCAAATGTCCAGGAGAGCAGTATCCCAGCAAGGAAAAATCCCAATGCATCCCCAGGGATCTCAGCTACCTCTCTTATGGAGATGCTCTAGGGATCGTCTTGATTTTATTAGCTATTTGTTCCTCATCCACTACAGCTCTGGTGCTAGGAATTTTTCTCAAGCACAAGGACACCCCCATAGTTAAAGCCAACAACCGAAGCATCACCTACATCCTTCTCATCTCCCTCCTTCTCTGTTTCCCATGCCCCTTGCTCTTTATTGGGCAACCAGGAAAGGTGACCTGCCTTCTCCGACAGGTGGTTTTTGGCATTATCTTCTCTGTTTCCCTTTCCAGCATCTTGGCCAAAACCATCACTGTGCTTCTGGCATTCATGGCCACCAAGCCAGGCTCCAGGATGAGGAAACGCATGGGGAAAGGACTGGCCAATTCTATTTCACTTTCTGGCTCCTTAATTCAAGCAGCAATTTGTGCACTTTGGCTGAGCACGACCCCTCCATTTCCAGATGTGGACATGCATTCACTGGATGACAAAATCATTCTGGAATGCAATGAGGGCTCTGCTGCCATGTTTTATTGTGTCTTGGGTTACTTGGGATCCCTGGCTATAGTCAGCTTCATTGTGGCTTTCCTAGCCAGGAAGTTGCCCAACAGTTTTAATGAGGCCAAGTTCATCACTTTCAGCATGCTGGTCTTCTGCAGTGTGTGGTTGGCCTTTGTTCCAGCCTACTTGAGCACCAAAGGGAAGTACGTGGTGGCTGTGGAGATCTTTGCCATTTTGTCATCCAGTGCTGGGCTGCTGGGTTGCATCTTTGGCCCCAAATGCTACATTATTGTCCTCAGGCCTGAACTGAACCACAGGGAGCACCTAATACGAAGGAGGAACTGAAAGGATGTGATGTTCTATGAATTCTATTAAACTTATGATTAACAGAAACATTGACCTCTGATTTTGTTTGGATTAACCCATATACAAAATAAAGACAGTCTAGCTCAATTTGCTGAATGTATTTATTCCGGGTTATTTTTAGGTCTTTTCCCCATACACCCTCCCACCCCTCAAGACCTGCAGGAGAGGCCCTGCTCTGGGAACCCTCCCTGAAGGAGGTTAGGAGAGTGAACACCAGGAATAGGCCTTTCTCTGCAGTGGTGCCCTGGCTGTGGAATGCGCTCTCCAGAGTGGTTCCCCTAGCACCAACATTATATGCTTCTCAGCACTAGGTTAAAGCTTTTTATTCACACAAAATTTTAAAGTTTTAAAAAAATTAATTCAGATTTTATTTATCCTCTGTTGCTTTTTATCTTGCTATTGTATTTATTGGATATTTATCACTCTGTAATCTGTCCAGAGATTTTTCATATTGGACAGTTTAGAATAATCCGAATAAATTATTAAGTATACCTCAGTAAGTGTATTTTCTCATTTGAGACCATTTGACTACTCGCAAAATGTGAACTATGAAGTTGTCAGAATTCAAAAATGCCTTGTTCACTTCCCATGTGAAAATATCCTCATTGTCTTTTATCTGGTTTGCTGCCCATGGGTGCCCTCAGTTTTTCACTTGCTCCTGGGAATCTATCTTCTTGGGTGCATCCAAAAGGGGATGCCATGAGAGAAACTGCTTTCAGAAGTGCAGTTCTCATTTTAGAGCAGGAAATAGAAGAGCTTTCACTTTTCTTCTTTGCAGCAAACTATAGAAGTGGATACGTTCTTCCTTTAATTGCAAATTTAAATTCATTGCCATCTTTCCTGAATTAAAATCATAATTGAGAATAGACATCTTTACACAAAATGAGACACTGGGGGCCAGGTGGAATGTTTGATTGAGGATATTCCAAAGCCTGTGTGAAGCACCCAGGAAAAGTCTTGTTACCGTACTGTGCCAGTCAACAGCCAGGGCAAACCCCGGGTGGACCCCAGACCCAAAGCCAAACAGAGCCTGAGATGACACTTAGAACCAAAACCAGCTTTATTCTAGTGCACTATAGAATAAAGGGAGACAAAAGGCGACATTCAGCCCAAAGCAGTTTCTCAAAAGTTGCACCCCAGTACATGCGTTTTATACCCTAGGTAACCAATTAGGTCACTTAATACACATCTAATAGATCGATACATCAATGTATGCACCCACTCCAGTGCTGGAGAAAAAGTCCTTTCTTCTGTCAAGAACAGACATTTCCCATTTCTATTTCTTATCTGCTCGAGATTCACACAGACTTGCCATGTTCTTACTCCCTGCACATTTGCAACTTTCATGGTGGTTAGAACCAGTTTCCACTGTCCCTTTGATTACTGTATTCGAGGTCAGGCTAGCTGTGGGTTACACAAAGTTCATTTTGTTCTTATCTGCCCTCCCTTCTGGGACAGTATAACTGTGGTGTTTTTACTATGTGGCCTTCCTCTGGCCAATTACTTTTGGGGTGCTTTAGGATGCTGCAATTGGCAACAGTCTCTTAAGTATACCATTACTTCCCATGGTTTGAGTGTTTTTTTCAGAAAAAAAATGGTACTTCTTGCCCCACACACAATGCCAGTTTTGCTTCTGAATCAGAGGCATCTAGCTGTTCATTCTGGTTGGGGCATCATACAACATTAAAGGAGGGATTCCTGCATGCAAGACATCAACTGGTGAATCCCAGACTGGTGGAGAGATTTGGCTCACACCTCTCCCTCAGCCATCCAAACAAATCTACCCCCTCCACACCCTCATTCAGAAGGGCTGTCAAAGTGAACTTAGCTGCCTAGGCAATCCAGTGGTCTACATGCATGGATTTCCCAATTGAGGGGGGGGGGTCTGTTTTTGGGCTTCACAATTCCCACCTCTGTTTACCCCTTCTGAGCCCCTGGAAATTGTTCTGTTGTCAGACGAACTCTGTGCTCTAATCTTTGCTAGGTTTTCTCTCCTGCTCAATCTCATCTGAGAGAAGAATGCTTGAAGTTGCTTGCCTCAAGCTTGGCAAGAGGAGAAGTGATGTTGATGGGGCATAGAGGAGAGGGAAGTGTCAGGATGCCCATAGGCCATGAGATCATCATGTGAAGCAACCAATTTTACATACTTTTCATGGCGAGGCTGGAAGTATGCTTGTCTGCACATTACCTCAAGTCCAAAGGAATGGTGAGCAACTGTAGTGCTTGAGGGAGCACCTTCCAAAGCGCGGAGGAAAAACAGAAAAAGCCCTTTTCCATGTACCCAGAAAGCTGGTCTTTGGTAAACATGAAGGTGTTCTTTCATTTTGTGCCCACATTTCATTGACTATAGGGCAGGATAGACATGAAATAAATGAATTTAAGGAGACAATCCTATACATGTTTAGACAGAAAAAAAACCCTCTAGAACTCCTCGCACTCCCTGAGTGAGCCATCTTTTTCACGTGGGACACAATCCAGATAAAGTGTAGAATAGGGAGTCTGAAGGCTTGAAGATCATGGATGACGTGCTTCCGTCCAAGCAGTGGATGCACAGAAGGTGGAGGCCATGGGATGCCCCCTGTAAAGAATTAGTGTTTACGAGCAACATATTGAATTGACCCCAAAAGCAATCAGAAACCAAAATAGGTCTCACACTTGACTTCTTGGTCTTCATTAAGCTCTGTCTGAATAGCCAAGTGTATTGTAATTATTTATTATTTTATATGATTTAATTTCTATACCACCTATTATCCGGAACAGCTCTCTTGGTGTTCACATGATCTAATTACAGAACCAAACACAAGGTCAATATGAAGAATAAATCAGAACATTCAAATCAAACATAAATAATATATTTAAAATGGATACAAGAAAAACATTGGCCTGCAGCTGCCATGTTCAAATTAATCCAAGGATACATCAGCTCTAAGGCATAAAAAATGGAATTGAAACGAAATACGCTATAAACACAATCTGTTTAAGGGTTTCACTATTATTAAACTTTTATAGGGAAGGGAGAATAGAAAGGTTCTACCTGGCAATGAAAGAACAAGCAAGATGAATCAGGCACAATTGTTGAAGAGTTGATTCCATAACTGGGGTGCCACATCTCAGACGTCCTCTCCCTGTGTAGCCACAATTTTAATTTCCTTTAGGGGTCACTCTCGGGCAAGGACCTGCAAAGAAGACCACAGGGACGTTCCTTTGCACAGCCTGGCCCTAGCCATTTAGGACTTGATATAATAATGAACGCTCTTTGAATTTTACTTCAGTTGGTAACCAATGGTGTTTGAACAGGGCTGACACAATATGCTCATATTGGACACTCCTCATCCGTAGGCTTGCTGCTCTGTTTTGAACCACCTCAAATTTCTGGACCATCTACAATGGCAGTCCAGTGCAGAGTGCATTGCAATAGTCCTAGCGCATGGTTTCAGGAAATTGGACCAGTGTTGCTAGGCTTTGCTTGTCCAGATAGGGTTGCAGTTGATAACTCAGCCTAAGATGATATTTATACATACACGATAAATGAAGAAAAATTAGTGAGATTTCATCCAATTCATTTACAGCATTGGCTTACAAAATCCATTTGCAAAGTCACATTGCTATTAAATTTAAGATTATTCACCTTCTTAACTGAAATAGACCCAAAAAGAGGTTTTGGAATGATTTCAAGTGTTATGGGACTGTGTTCCATAAATGCAGTTTTGTTTCAGAGAGCAAGAGGGGGGAAAGGGGGAGTTGAGGGAGGGAACTGATGGGAGGAGGGAATGACTCAGTGAGTGTGGAGGTGTGAGAGGAGAAGGAAGAAAAGTTTTTCAGGGAGCAGTTAAGTTTGAGCTTGTGGTGGTGCGTCAGCAGCTAAAGCCAAGGGAGACCTGTCAGAAGTTGACATATATAGTTGAATTCTGCAGTGCCTGAAGAAGTAGCCTTCTCATGAGCATCCTACAGAGTGGTGATGAAAGCATTTAAGATTCAAAAGGAAAGGGGGGGGAGCAGAATACCCGGAGGATGTGCTAGTGAGTTGGAAAAGTCAGAACCCAATATCGTCAAGAATTACGAGTGAGAGAGAAGCCTGCCAAAACCTGAGAGCAGGAGAGAAAGGAGGATCTGCTTACAGAGAGTGAATGTGAAGGCAAAGAGTGATGTATCTCAGTCAAGGGTTATTCTCTAGCTTTACTGAAGAAGAAAAAGTTGCAGAACATTTTGAAAATATAATGCTCATTTTTGAAAGTACATTTTAATTTGTTCATTGCTAACTCAGAGTCATTGGATGCCTGATTATCCATGTCTCATCCTCAGAACCACATAGTCCAGAGAAGGAGGGGCCTTACAGGTCGGCACAACACTGTGCAAGAACAATCAGTTAGAATGGTCTTAAATCCCTGGTGGTAGCGTAACCTCCTTAAAGAAAGTGAGGGAGATTAAAGAAGGCTGAAGATGCTCCATATCCAAAACATTAATCGGAGTGCACTTGTTACAGTGTTCTTCTCTCTTGTCAAGAAGTTCTGCTTTCTGTCTGTTATCACCCAATTCTATCAGCTATTTGTAGGGTACTGATGTATTGTTCTAAGTAGTTTTTCACAATAATGCTGTGATACTGGATGGCTAGGAAATCAATCAGTAAATCACTAAATGGGGAAAAAATATTTTTAAGGTCTGTTGAAGCCATGTATAAGAAGACCCATCAAATAAGAATGTGACTAATATATGACTTCGAAAAATACCGCATGACAATTCTCATACATAATTCAATTTCAAAAGGCTAGCAAGAAACTGGGGAGGTGATAACCTCCCATAACATTGCCTAAATTGTTGTTTTCCATTTTGTGGTTCAGTGCACTGCCCCAGCTCATGGACGAGACAGCATCTGGAATGGACTCAAATATATTATTCCACACTGGTGGACAAAGAGTTAGTATTAGCCGCAAACCATTGTACTGGTGCACAGATTTCCCAATACACCAGGCAATAAAACA